AGGTTACAGTCACTCAGTGACTGCAATAAACTGCTACGTGTAGCTAAATGCTAACATAAAGGAAACATGTACTCCAAGTACACCAAGGACATACCAGCAGAAGTTCATTCATCGATTCAGCAAGTTCAAGCGTGTATAACGCGAGTTATTCGCATGTATGAAACGAGTCAACACAAAATATTCTAGGGTTCAAACTTTCGTGAGTAATACAACACAAAAATTTGTATCGCATTGGGTGTGAACACAGCATTACAGTCATTCCCTTGCTACAAGTATATTGCTCCATGCAGTGACAGGTTAATATTAAAGGTGCAGTAGGTAGAAAGCCTGAAAACAGTTGACTTTTGAGTCTCATCTGAGTTAGGCTTCGTTCGTCTCCGCCCTGAGCCCCTCCTACCAGACGAGTGTGCTCTGGGAGCCTCGGCGCAGCAGCCCGCCCCATCCCTCCCTCGCGGACCCGCACATACCAGAGGCTCGGCTCTCCCTCTCCGCGAAGAGCCCTTGGCTCCGCTCCCACGGCCAACCCTAAAGCCCTCCGGCCGGGCCTGGCCCCACCTCACCCTTCCCCTCCCTCCTTGGCTCCGGGGAACCAAGTTCTGTCTTCCTTTTTTTGGGTTGTTTAGCCGTGTAGGCAGTTGTAGCCAATGCTGGGATAGCTATTTTACCTGGTGCACTGTTCGCCATTGCCACTTGCTCTCCCCTTCTGCCAGCGGCACGGGAATGTGCATATGCAGCAGAACAGCCAATAGGAATGCAGTGGTCTGAGCTGACCTTTGATTGGTTGATGCACATTGGCACGATACTGATTCTTTAGAGGCTGAACACAGAGCCATGGTGAGGTGCAGAAACCTACTGTTTGTCTCAGACCACTTGATTTACATTATGCTTAGAGGATATTATAAAATTTTTACTCAATTATACCAAAACAATGTTGCCTACTGGAGCTTTAAGGAAACCTGTACTCCTTGTTGGTGATGTTGTTAATTTCGAATGATAATCCTGCTGGAACATGTCAGGTGGTGTTTAGAAGCTATTATTGGTGATTTTTGACAGGAAAAAGTGCCGCCATTAATGGTCATCCCCTGCTGCAGTGCACTGCTATATGCTAACATGAGGGAAACATGTAATTTTGGTTGCCATTGTTGTTGATTTCCCCTGATTTAGGGATCATATTCCTGCTGGAACATCTCAGATTGTGAAGATTTTGGTTAAGAAGCTTTTACTGGTGATTTGTCATGGTAGAAAATGCTGCTTTACTCCATTATTATCTTTCCCCGGCTCCAAGTACACTGCTCCATATCACTACATGTTAACGTTATGTGGTTTCTGGTTGTGTTTAGATGCTTTTATTGTTAATTTTTAAATGAAGAATCAGTTGCTAGACAGTCATTCCATGGATGCAAGTACACTGATACATGCAAACGTCAGGGAAACATGTAATCTTGGTTGCCAGTGTTGTTATTATTATCTCCCCGTTTCGGATCATTTTCCTGCTGGCACATGTCCACTTGTGTTTAGAAGGTATATTGGTGATTTTTCACGGTAGAAAGTGCCGCTATACTCAGTCATTCCCCAGCTTCAATGATGGTGCAGAGATGCTGAGATATGGAATACCCAGAAATCCTGACCAATCACAGCAGACTGAGCTTTTCCAGGGACTGTGGAGGCTGTGGCTCAGAGGGAAGAACAAGTCATCTAATTGGTAGATTGGTGGTTTGATCCTGGGCTCCTCCAGTCCGCATGTCAAAGTAGCCTTGGGCAAGATTCTGAGTCTCTGAACCCCAAAGTGCTCCCCTAATGGCTGTTCCATGGGTGCGAGTGTGTATGAATGTCGAACTGATGAGCAGGTAAAACCTTGTGTGGTAGCCTTGGCCACTGGTGCATGAATGTGTGTGTGAATGGGTGAATGTGAGTGTAACAGTGCTTTGAGTGGTCGCAACACCAAAAACGCACAAATGCAAGTCCATTAACGATTTGAAAATGAGTGTCTCAGTGAGTGCAAGTGTTCCAGCGCAGACAGTATCAGGGAAATAAAGTGTTTTTGAACATTTAAGCATGTAAACATGTTCAAGTTCAAGAAACCTTAAATAAAAGTTCGACCATGAAAATGAGCATGAAAGGTCTCCTGCAAGTTCTCAGCACCCTCAAGTTCAAGTGTGACCACACCAAAAACATTTCACACACTGGAGTTGCACATCAACTCGGCTGAGAAAACACACACACACACACACACACACACATGAACACTGCGATGATTGCACTTGCTCTAACATCAGCTCTGCATTAGTTGTTATGGCAACAGGCAACGGTGGGCAGGCGTGAGGGCTACGAGACATGGGCTCTGAGCTGCTGACAGTGATGGCACCCTCAACTGCAACACAAGAGTCAGCCAATTATACAAGTGGTGGAGTGTTGGAAAGCTGCTCGGCCCTGAGCAGCAGAGACACACAGAGTTGCTGAGGAGGTATTAAGTGGCTCAGCTGAAGCCCAATTTCCCCCGTTAGTTGTTTTCTCAGGGAAAGTGGCTCATTTTAAGTCAAGTTGAGTCTAATTAAAGCTGTGCTGAGAATTGCCTGCGACAAAGCGGCACAAGAAAGTAAAGACGATAAGGAGAAGTGTCGGGAAGCGTGTGTGTGTGTGTGTGTGTGTGTGTGTGTGTGTGCCCTTGCTGTCTATCCTGTGAGGGCCAATTTGAGTTTTACACCCTGAAAGTAAAGACATTTTGTCCATTCCTCTTCTTGTTCTGTTTAAGGTCTCAGGTTGTGTTTGTTTTTGCATCCACACTTTTGGATCATTTTGAGTTTTATACCTGAGAAGTAAGCACATGTTTTACAAAGTGCAAAAAAAGGACATCTTCGTGAGGTGGGGACATTTTGAAGTGAGGACACTTCAAAGTAAAGAACTGAAGACAGTTTTGAAAAGAAAGTGCATTTTAGAAAGGTGAGAAAATGTTTTTGAAAGTCAGGACAATTTGAAATAAGAGGGTGTTTTTGGAACATCCTAAAAATATTTTGAAAAGTAAGGCCTTTTGCAGTTTGTACTCTTGTCCCCACATACACACATCTGTCCATCCCATTCTCGTGAACGTGATATCTCAAGAATGCCTTGAGGAAATTTCCTCAAATTTGGCACAAACACCCCTTGAACTCAACGATAAACTGTTTTATTTTGTTGTTGTTTTTTTGTTTTATGGTCATTCATGTGTGCTATGTTTATAAATGCTGAACTGGACATATCAAACTTTAAATTTGGATGGATCGTCTGAACATCCTATTTCTCTCTCCTTTCTGAGATTTCTGCAAACAGNAAAGCTTTAAGCTTTATTAACATTAAATGGATGAGATATATTAAAAAAAACACCCTGTACAGTGAGCAAGAAAAAATAACCATAGAGACCACCAATTTTTGTACCAGGCTGTAAACATGATTATTTCTGCTGTAAATGTGGGTATTCATACATGGGGGTCTATGGGCATTGACTCGCTCTTGGAGCCAGCCTCAAGTGGTCATTAGAGAAACTGCAGTTTTTGTCACTTCTGCCTTGCCTTAATTTTTCAGCCCCAGAGGTTGCTGCTTGTGAAAACCATGGCCTCAAGTAGTTTATTGCTTTTATAAAACAATTACTACATATACCTGGCAGTGTTTCATTAAATAACCACACAGTTACAAAAAATGCAATAATTTATTGATAATACTGAATCCATCTTCCGCCCAGCAATGCAGCTCTTTAGCAACATTTAAGGGAATAGTTGGCGATTTACAAACTCAGGGCCGAATTCACATAAGGATTGCGTGGATTTTGCAGCCGCTAATCCGGTAAAAATGGAGCAAACACATACCGTCTAATTCACAAAGTACGCACAGAGGGTGAAATGCTCCACTAACTGCGCTGCCAAGCAGATTGCATCTCGGTGCTCCGGTGTTATTTGCATGTATTTAAATGAGGTAATATGCATATATTTGGCGCAAAAATTGCCCATTTCTATGCAAATGAGCCTCATTGATAAACAACGTCTAATTCACTAACACCAGTGCTAATAGCCACACGCAGTTTGAGTGAAGTAAATAATGTCTTTAGAAAGCTGGTGCAAACTGGGCGCTCCTCTGTGGAAGCCTCTCGCCCAGACTTTCCAGTGGTCGTGGCAGCAGTGATCGTCTGTTAAATCAGTCTGTAAATAATATTTTGACATTATTATTATAATCATTATTACTTTAATGGCATCCGAAGATACTGATGCGTTGAACAGGTGACAGTCTGCGGTCGTTCTCAGTACGCACTTCTGTCACGCACTTCAAAAGCAACTTTCAATAATTTATTTTACGAAACGGGGGAAACAAACGTGAACAAAAACGGTTCCATAATTCATATTAAATTCAAAAGATAACGAAAAAACAGCTACAAGTGAGAGGGAATAGTGATAAAGTGATCAAACTTGGTCAAATCCACAGCCTCAACCCATCCGACACTGTTAGACTGACTCACCAGCAGACATCACTACATGAGGGTATACAGTATTCAGTACTTTGCCAAACAAAGTCTGCCATTGTTCTGCCACGGTGTTCATGGCATATACTTGTGGCTAATTGCAATCAGGGGCAAACTGCACTCAGCTGCCAAACTTTGTGGGTGTGTTTGCGCTGGTATATCATTAGCGCAATATCCTTTGTGAATAGGACGTCAAGACGGAGCAAACTGCGGGTGCAAGTGAAGTGCAATTCAAGGTGCTATCAGTGGCTGCAGTCATTCTTTGTGAATTCGGCCCTCAGTTTCCAGCTGGGATTGTACCATCAAATTCAAGTATTTAGAGCCAAAATATTATCTTATACTAATCATAACTAGGTGTTTTCGTGCCCAAACCCAACCTGTTCACCACAGTGTTGCTGAAACATCAGGTTTCAGTGTATCCCCGACATAATAACTTACAAATGTAGTGTGCCTGTGGTTTGCAAAAATGTGCAATGCCAACATTTATTTCAGTGATTTGGTTGCCTCCACTTACCCGATTGATCAATTCTCCCACCATGCCGGTCCAGCTGCCGTTGGGCTCTGGGGCTCCGTACAGCCCATCGTCCACCAGCTTGATCTTAAAGGAAAACTTCAAGATGTCTGACAGCTCCCGCAGCATGTCCACACAGAAACCTTCATACTGGTCGTTACCCTGTAAGTCTTGGTAGTTGGCCTTCCGCATCACGTATGGGTTTTCCTGTCGGAAGGGAAGCGACATCATACAGTTGCTGATTCGGAGCAGGAGGAACACCAACCAGTGATATCTAACACTGCATTATGTACACATATCACAGATATTTTACCAGTATTGTGGTGACGATTAGTGTCTTGTTAGCCAGCGTCTCTGATGCGTTGAGGTCGAGGGAAGTGGAGTTCATGGCCAACGTGTTGTTGGAGTACCAGATACCAATCTGTCAGTCCAGGAGTAAGAGGAGGACAAAGAAGAGTTAGAAGAGTGAAGATGAAGGGAATAAGAGTAAAGGGTGCAAAGTTTTAGATGTACACTTCTTTAAACAAAGATGGGAGTGAACCAGGAGCAGATGAAAAAAATAAACTGCAAAGTGAAAAATAGGATAACAGGGAGAAAGTTAGACTGCAAGGACAAAGGGCAACAGACAAATAAAAATGATAAAAGTGTGTTATGAGAGGCAGAGAGACAGACGGGGAGAGGGAGCTGAAAAATCCTCACTGCAGAATCAATGCTAAAATCAATGAGGGTGGGTCTGGCCATAAATAAGGTCATAAATACATGTATTCTGCTGACCTTTCACCAACCCCATCACATCTACTGACCTCATGACCTTACCCAACCTATTGTTTGTTTGTGTATTTATCAGCTGTTAGGATTCTGCGCTGTTGCCCAGGGGACAGGCTGATAAAGAGAAGAGGCCACTCCTTCCCAGACTGCCATCGTGACATGAAAACTCATTTCTGTTAGGAGGAGTTCAGGCATCCTACCATCCTCTTCTCCCTTAAATTTTGTCCATCCTTCCCCATCTGTCTTATTACTTTTTTGCTTCTTTGTTTTGCTTTTTTTTTGTCATTGTGAAAAAACATTTCCTCTTCTCTTCTGTCTTCCATCACTCAAAGTGCTCTGAACACCAACATTTTTTTTCATTCATTTCTGTTCCTAAACAGGCCTCCAAGGCAGGTTGCATCAGTTTTTTCAAGGCAAACAAGTCATTCTGAAGGAAAGTCGATATTTAAATCGAACCACACTGTTTGTATGTTCATTTAGCTTAATTTGTCTCATTTAATCTTGTCTATGATCTCCAGGATGTACAGATTAAACAAACAAAAGATTAATTGTGTTAATTAATTATCTTTAGAGGTGAGTTTGCTAGGTCCGGTTATTGGACAGAGCCATGCTAGCTGGCTAGTTATTCTAAAGTCATCAAAAAGATCAAGTGGGAATCCCCACTGCCACTGCATTACTTTTCACAGCACACTTAACCCTGGTCTGTGAGCCTGCTGTGACCTCAATTGATCTCCGACATTTTAATGTTCATCTGAGGTCATAAAGCAACACTCGAGCCACACGGACAAAGTCTGTTTGTATTGATCTTATTGATGGATGCCTGAAAGAACTGCTTACTGTGAAGCCACAGCCAATGGACAAAAACCTGCCAAATGAACAACAGCTTGAACAATAAGCAGGGTTAGCACAAGGTCCTTGAAGTGCTTGGATTTTGAGGAACAAAATAGTACTGGAATACCTTGAAAAAAGCCCCTGTAACAAAGTGCTAAACAAGTCCTTCAAATGAATCACATAACATGTTCTTATATTTTGACCAAAGTTTTGTCATCAGAGATTGCTCATTTTTAATTTTCTCTTTTTCTTTTTTTTAATTCACATCACAATCTGAGACTGCGGTGTGCTCGCCCTCTTTCTTCCTTGCATTTACGATGTCCTGCCTCACATCAGTTCATTTTTTCTTCACTCCACTCTTAAAACTCCAGCAAAACCAGTAGGCCTATGTTGACAAAAACAACATGAACTCAACTTAATAATCACATTTATTTGTTTTCCTATCTCTTTCTAGCAATGCTCCAATGATTTAGGTTCGCCAAAAACTGAAATTTCAGCTGGCATCATATATTAGTGCTACAGATGGTTCTGTTTTAAAGAAGATTTTTCCCTTCTTCATAATGGGTAGGCTACTCCTTTTTGTAATGAGCTGACAATTCTGGCTGATACTGGGCAGTGTGGCGGGGTCTCTTCCTCTCCTGCTGCCCTGTTTGCAGACAATCAGTGGGTGTGGGGCAGGCAGGGGGATACCTCTCACAGAGTTCAGCTGTAGTGAATCTTTATGGTTCCGCTGATGCTCTCGCTCTGAAACCTTCACTGGAATGGAACTTTTCAAAGCAAGAGAAAGTTGCGTGTTATACTACACGCAGATGGAAGCAGCACTCAGATATTTCACTCAACTAAAAGTAACAATACTTACCCATTATGTAGAATTTCAAAATAATACAGCCTATGTTATGTTATTGGACTACTTGTACTTAAATGCAGTACTTAAGTAAATGTACTTAGTTATATTTCATCACTGTTAGTATAAGCACCATAGCTCTCATGTCATTTAAATGTTTTGTTGAGGGATTTACACAGATATTTCTAAAAAGAGGGTGATAAGTAACCCCACATTAAAAAGAGAGGCACTGATCACATAATTTAATTAAGTTTAATGAAAAATTATATGAGTCGCTTTGAGTGAAGTCCTTGAATTGAATTTGTAATGTCTGTATGAACCCTGATTAAGATAGTATTGACTCTTCAGGAGTTTCCTGCACAGGTGCAGTGCTTATCAACTGTGGCATCCCATGACAAACATTTTCATCATCTTAATGTGAAGTCTTGCACAAATTACATCCATATTTGGTGAAAAATTCCCCATTTTCAAACACCAATATGTTCAGCTGCTGCAGCTGAATGCTACCATGACCTCTGGTCTGTCTTCCTCCCACTTGACCTCATTTGACCTCTGACCTCTTTATGGCCCACGGGGTGTTTCTCCAGGATCTTCAGGGTGTAATTGGTCCTCTGGCCTTTACTGTTGAACTCAATGTGACCTGTCAGGCCATCATACTCCACCTGATGAGACAAACACAAAGAAAGACACCAAAAAAATAGTGTTAGCTGACAGGCCCCAGCCAGCAAGTAGAGCTATCCAAAAGCAATTAGTTACAAATAGCTTATCTAAAGAGCTGATTTCTGTATTAGTGTCCGACTCAGAGACGAGCCACATGACTAAATGGAAAATTGAAGTTTATTTGGACAGCTTTAGGAGGGTTGCACTGCTTGCCCCAGTATATGTTCTTTGTCTTAATTGCACATCCCAAATCTCAACAGCAGAGGTGATGATTGCCAATTTAACATGGCCTGGAGTCAGAATGAACTCAATACATGAGAATAAGGGCCCAGTCACAACAGAAAGTAGCAAGTGAATATGATTTTTGAAAAAAAGGAGAAAAAGCAAAATATGTGGTTTTAGAAGCTCGATTACATAGGAACTGCTCAACACATTCTCATCCCAAATCATCACATATGGCCGTTACTGCTGCTGTTGATGTTTAGGGATGCTGCTACCATTGCTGGAAGGTAAAAAAAAAAAGCATGTGGTTAGGTTTAGAAAAAAACATCATGATTTTTTTTTTCATCATGATGGCAAGGAACAAATAAATAGCCTCTGTGTTGTTTATTTTCAGTATTCACACAGCTTGACATGCTTTGTTCCTTATTAGTAGTAAATAACCAGATTACCCTCCATTGAAGGTAAACATTACAACAAATAAAATGATTTAAAGACCCGGGCACATCTTACTATATCTTACTATATAATGACAAAAACTCTGTCTGTGGGTGTGTCTGTGTGTCTGTTCCACGTTTGGTCAATCCATGTGAAATTTGGCACAGTGGTAGAGGGTCATGGGAGGATGTGAATGAAGCAATATTACATCAATTGGCCAAAGGGGGGCGCTCTAGCAACCGATTGAAATTGCAAACTTTGAATGGGCATATCTCATGCTGCGTATGTGCCTCAAGAACCCATAACTTCCGTTAATATAGATTTTCCGTCATTTTGAATTTTTTGAAAACACTTCAAATCGATCTCTTCCTAGGAAGTTTGAGCGATCTGCATGAAACTTGGTGAACATAATCTAGGAACCAACATCTAAAGTTCCCTCTTGGCAAAAGTTGGAAAACTTACTAAAACTGAGCTTCTATAAGGCAATGAATATTGCGGAGGGCGTGGCTCATCACATAAAGGTGTATAACATCTCAAGGGTTTCACCGATCACCACGCAACTTTGTAGGCATATGACCACACATAATCTGAGGGGACCCCTCCATTATTGACCCCATCAAACAAAATGGGGGCGCTAGAGAGCTAATTTCTTATCTAGGCCTAACCGCCATATCGATTTTTACTAAACTTGGTAGATATGTAGTACAGGACGCTTCAAGGTGACTGGAGAAATTTAACTCTAATTGGCAACTGGGTGGTGCTATAACAACAGAAAAATGCTTAAACATGGCTAAAATGTGACCGATCGCTGTGGCTCCCCCTGTGGCCGAATGTTTTGGGGTTTTTTCTAATTTTTGGTATGACTAAGTCATGGTATGGTATGCTGTACATAATCACGGAAACTGTCAGTGTGTCATTCTGTCAGTCAGTCATTCTGTCTGTCCCACGATTTTCTACTCACTGACATGGTCAATCTATGTGAAACTGCACATAGGCATTGAGGACTGGCATAGGTAGAAGGTGACAAAACTACCAATGGGTATGGACTAGTCTGCATTTAAAAGAGCAGGATTTTACAGAAAAATCTATACATTTTAATAAAATTACCAAAATTATAAGATTTGCTTGTAGAGCAGAGTAAATATCCACTAACCATTTTACATTAAGTTAAACTATTATAAACTTTGACAGTCACCAAAGTTACTTTGCACCTTTGACCAAAAGAAAACCATCTTGACCTCTGAGGGAACATATACCTGAAGAGTCCAAATCAAAGAAAGCTGTCATAGTTTATCAACTGTGTTGCTCCTCCAAGTTGCGAACTACGTCTCTCAAATAAACTTTTTAAACATGTTGTGTGCTGCAACCAAGCTACTGATGTCTAAACACGTTTGTAGCAGCTGAATCAGGAGATTCAAACTGGCTGCAGTTTAATGTGACACAAAAAGAACGAGGTTTTCGAAGTTATTGATTCAGAAATGAAATGTCTAAGAGGAGAAAAAATACTTCAAGAGAAAAATAAGATTGGTATTACAGGGAAGAAGCAGAGCACACAGACAGACAGTTCATCAGATCAGTGACAGAGCTGCTGGTGTGTGTTTGCAGGAATGTGCAAATAAGTGTGAGGTTTGTGTTATACATGTGCAGTCGGGCGTGCATAGTGTACTTGGGTTTATGTGAGCAATGTGCAACTGAGCGCATGTACAGTATGAATGAATGTGCATGCTTGTGTGTGTTTTTGTCATTGTGAGTGTGTGTGTATGTGCATGACTCAAGATGAATTGCATCCCAAAAACTGTGGTGAGAAAGAAAGAGGGAGACAGAGAAGGAGAGAGGTCTCTGGTTGCTGCCAAAAACAGTGTAGAGATGATGAAGTGATGCACTGAGAGCAACAAAAACAATATGGAGGGAGGGAGGGAGAGAGACGGAGGCATCTTCAGTGGATGGAAGGAACAAGGAGTGGCAGACAGACAGAAACAAGGAAAGAGGAGAATGAGAATAAATTATATGAACGTGGTAATGAAAGAGGAAAGAAGGAGAGAGAAAGGGAAAGATGCCAGAGGAGAAAGAAGAAAGAGACAATACCCCCCCACCCCCACCCCACCCAATTCTCTCTCTGTCTGTGTCCAGCAGCAGCACAGATGAGTCCAGGTCTGCTGCAGCCTGCAGTAAGCAAGACACAACCTGCAAACTAAGCTACAATAATACTGTTTGGTATTTTTTTCTTTTTCCAAATCAATGCATGTGAGACTTTTTTTTTTCATTTCCTTTTGCCTTTAATAGTTGGACAACATTGTTTGTCTTTTAAAACTACTACTTACCACATGGACATTTCCTGACCTCTAATGGTTGAGGTTTGTTTCGATGGTTAATGTTACAGAAACATTGGAATTACAAGAAACCAGTGTTGACTCTTGGTAACAGATTGGATGTGAGCAGTAGTGTCACATGTCAAAGTCACTTCATTGACCCATCCATCCACCTTAACCTCCTCCCTTTAAAGGTTTAAGGCTTGATGCCTTTGTTCCACACAGTCAAAGGTTTCAATTCATTGGACCCATGGAGCTCAGGTAAACACAGACAGACTGTAGGTCCTGTTAGGCATTTTAATAAGTGTCAATGTTTCTCTAGTGATGACTAGTGGTGGACAAGGGCGGAAACGCTGCAGCGGCCCAACACATTTCCGCAAGGAGAAATGTCCTGCAGCTTTAGAAATGATGCCAGAACAAATACAACATCGGGTTTGAGCTGCAAATGACAAAGTGTGCTGTCGAAAACACATAAACCCCCCTGAAAAAATGTCACAGGAACGAAAATGCTGCTCATCCAGTCAACACAATAGAAGTTCTCCAGGCCTCGATAGCCCCATTTCCACCAAAGGCTTTCAGTATGGTACCTTTGGAACCAAAAGTAACCTTTCAGACATGGTACCTAGACCACAGGTCCATTTAGTGTTTCCACCACAAACAGTACATCAACAGTGACACAGAGGGATGTCTGCACCTCGTTTATCACCCAAAGAGCCAGTTGCACGCCTACATTTTCAGAGCAGGATAGAACAGGCTGCAGTGAGAGTCTTTCCTGATGGGTTTGTGTATTTATTTCTGCTCAGGCAAGCTCAGGGGTTTAGTGTTGGCGTAGCTTACAGGAACAGCGATCCACAATGCTTATTTTTCTCCAAGTGAGGATTAGATTATATGCAGTTCACAAAATCTGGTCAAAAATAATATATATTTTTAAACACTTAAAGATCCACTCATTAGTTAAAGCTATAGTTGGTAATGTTGGAGAGCTAGCAAGATTTGAAAGCGGCACCTCCTCTCAGCTCCGCCCCCTCCTCCCCCTCCCGTCAGTGCTCTGTCCAAAGCCACGGCCCCACAAGCTTGAATGCGCATCCTGCAGTAGGAGTCAGACTCAGCAGGGCAGAGGAGAGCCGAGTAAAATAACAAATCCCCCCGAAGCAAACAAATAATTACCTGTCCAACAGAAAGACAGCAACCTCTGCATCACTTTTCAGGCCCTTCAGCTCCCTCAGTTTTCTCCACCGTTCAAAAGCTGCACCGATGTTGACTCTGGTTTGTCCTCTCACTTTATCCAAAGCCTTTTTCGTCGCCGCCTTTTCTGCCTCCGACTTTCTTTTCTCAGCCTGTTTAGCGGGGCAAGTTGTTACAAGTAACGCTGGAAGTGATACTTTTGGCTGCGTTTTCTCTGCCATTGTTCAGCAAACTCCTGATAACTCTGTATTTCTGCTGAGGAGTGTGCTGAATACACGTGACACGTGATGAGTGCACGCAGGGAGGAGGGAGGGAGGGAAGGACAGAGGGGGGGCTCGGGCAGGACGAGACATGAAGGCATCTGATTGGTTCTTTCCATTCGCACCGAAAGGCAGGGATTGGTCAGAGTTTTTACAGGCCTGCAGCTGCCACAGAGGTCGGATTTTTTTCATTCCTTTTTCTGAACACATTATGTATTGACTACTCTCAGGATGGAAGGACCATTTCACCCAATATAACAAGAAGTGTTTCTGAACAGGATTACCAACTATAACTTTAAGGTGTGTGTCCTCCAAGATAGACAATAAAAACTAAAGGGTCAAAGTTGTCATATTGAAATTTAAGGTGTAATGATGAATTCACATCGTCAGCCCATGCATTGAGTAACATTGCAAGTTAACGTTCCACCTTAAATTGATGGCAGTTGACAGATTGAATTAAATGATCTTTTTCTCAGTCTACAGTCTGCTGCAAGAGGCAGCAAAACATCCTTTCATTTTATAGTTTCAGTTCACTAATGCATGTAAGACTTGCTACGGTATGAACAGTGGTTACATAAGTCTCAAAACCAGCTGTGTGGTTAGGTTTAGGCACAAAACCCACTTGGTTATGGTAAGAGAAAGATCATGTTTTGGCTAAAAAATAAGCAGTACTGGTGGCAGAATCATAGCTGGAAATGTCTCAGTAAAGAAAATTATATTTTTTTTAGAAACATTGTGCCCAACCTTCCGGTCTCCTCACGGAGTAGCCAAATTAACATATGGACTGACATGTGGAACTAATCAAAAATACCCTTGGTGGTTCACGGATTAATGGTTAACCGTTGACTGTTAACTGTTTAACCCTAGCTTGAACAGTGGGTTAACAGACTCTGAGTTTTCACTAAACCTGCTTTGTGAAACGGACCCCTGGAGAACTTCCATAGTGTTGACTGGACATGCAGCCTTTTTCTGCTACATTTGCTTTGGGGGTTTGCATGTTTTTGCCTTTGCATTCTTTCTGTATCTGCAGAGAAGCATATGTTTTCTTATTTGCAGCACCTTTTGTTGTTTTACTTGTTTTGGATTTTTGTGCATGTTTTTAAATTGACATTGTCTCTGAAGCTGCAGCACATTTCTCCTGATGGAAATGTTTTGGGCTGTTGTTGGCCACCGTAGCTGACAGTCTCTTAAAAACTCAAATTCAAATCCAGCTGCATTCTCACAAGCTGTGATCAGTCTTGGTTCAGTCTAACCCTACTTACACACTAACTTTGGAGTTGTTGGCAGGTTTTTTTTTTCTCTATTGATGGAGCTAAGTTAGTAGTTTCCCCCTGCTTCCAGTCTTTGTGCTAAGCTCAGCTGAAACATCCTGAATCTACCTCTGTACTGGTGATAAACATGAAACAGAAATCAATGTAAAACACCTGACTGTTGCAACAGAGTCAGATGAGAGGACAATGGGAGTGTTTTACCTCCAAGATGGTCTCCATTCATTATAATGATAGCTGCCTGCCCAACATAAATGGGCTAAAGAAGCTCTCACTTCCACTGGTTTTCTGACATATAAAAACAGCTTTTCTAGGCTCTGAGAAAAAAATATAATACAAAGAGTAATGAACAACCTTGTTTGCAGCTTCACAGACATCTTTATAAATTGTAGGTCTGTGGGGGAGATTGGCCACTGGGACAAACTGGTAGGAATTAGGCTGACTTACCACACCCCATCCAACTTTTAACCATCCATGGGGAGAACAGCGAACCAGAAGGGTTCCCAGAATGTCAGAGTATGTGTGTGTGCGTTTGTGTGTGTGTGTGCGCGTGTGTGTGTGTGTGTGTGTTTGTGTTTACCATGCGTAGGTAGTTCATGAGACTGGTTCCATGCTGCCAGATAAGCGGAGACGTGCAGCTTAGCGGCTTCACTCCAATCTCCTGACTGCGGTTCAGCTCCCGCACAGCGCTCACCACCACGTGAACTGCATCAAACATTAGGGCCGACGACAGCTGTAACATACACAATGAAAGAATAAACAAAAATTACTTTACAATGGAAACTTAACTGTGTAAAAGCAGTCTTCTATTTTTGTCTCAATCCCAATACATCCCTTGCCACTTCAACTTCACCCCTACCCCTCCATTTTGCGCATTCATGTCTAGGGATAGAGTATCCTGAATCATGTTGGGAGAGAGGGGTAAGACAAAGTGTTGGGGCTACATGGCCTTCCAAACAGAGGTTTCTCACAGGCACACATCAAATGGAGGGTTGTGAGTGAGCATCAGCAAAATGGCTGCACAACCTGCAAACTGAGCATAGCAATAGTTCAGGCAGGCCACAGAGCTCAGGTCACATCCAAGCTACATCAGCTGACTGATGGACGGGAGTCATCTTATGGATCCCATGATTCCTTTCTATGCAACCCATTAGCAAATCTCATTCAGAGCGCTTTGCTGGCCATCTCCACCTCAGCTCCTCATTTCACGCTGTGACTGACTAATCAGTGTCTATTCTGTTTCTTATTGAAACTAGCTCTGTTCTGTACCCTTCAAATACCCCTGTAGTCTCTGCTGCTGCTCTCCACCTAAGGCTTTCCATATTTGTACGTTGAAAGGCAGAGAGGTATACTCTTTGCCTCAGGCTTTCCATGTAGGCATGTGGAAAGATGGATATGTGTGCTTTCTCAGCATTAGGCTTTCAATAGTGATGGCCAAATAAAGCCTCATGAAGCATTTTCTTTATTTTATGAGCCCACTAGATGGCACTTTTTGTTCAACAAAAGGTTGAAAGCACACGGAATTGCCATTCTTTGAGCCTCTCTCTACAAACCAAGAGCGCCATCTAGTGGGCTCACAAAATAAAGAAAATGCTTCATGAGGCTTCATTTGGCCATCACTAGCTTTCAATGAAGGCATGTGTGCAGAAGTGTGCTCTCTCTGCCTCAGGCTTTCCATCTAGGAATGTGGAAGGGCAGTGCTGTCCAAGAACAGAGCCATAACACCAAATATCATACTGCAAATAAAAATAAAGTTTTCTTTGACCACAGTGGTCCTGACTGAAGTGTTATTTTTTGTTAATAAAGATTTAAAAGTTAGATAATCATCATGTTATTTTAGTTTAATGTCATTTCAATGTATTATGGTCCTTTTCCTGATAACAAGCATTTGATTTCATTTGATTTGTGCATGACAGTTCTGGATTTCGATATATTTCCATGTTGCTCCCCCCTCCCTCTGATGACACATGACACCTGAAATTCATCAGAAGTCTGGCAGTAAAGTGCAAACTAGCAGGGTAGGAGCAAAGGCTGCTAACATTAGCCTACAGCGCACCACTGGTGGCCTGGTAATTAAGCATTGTTCTTTTTTTTTTTAATGGCTTGTTTGATCGATTGATAGCCTGAAACGTAAGTTGTGAAAAAATTGCAAGCATCCATGCTCTTCTATCTCCATCAGATAAATGATGAATGTCATTGTGATAATACTACTGTTGCCATAGTCATGTCTGTTTATGTAAACATCATTGATGACTACTGATAATGTATAAGAGTCTTGAAGGGTATTCCCATTTCACAGGGGAATATTCAACTACTACAGCTTGTAACTTTGTTCTGAGGGGCAAAGGGAAACTCAAAAATGAGAGTTAGGGGTGAAATTAAGAAATGGGACTGCACGCAGTTAGTTGACACATGAACCATCTGTTAACCAACAATAGCTGGAAATGGTGATTGCAAAAAGCATGACATGAATCCTGTGAAGCTATATAATATTGACTCTGCCTTTAGCTCTGGTTTGGTCTCCACCACCTTTTTCTGACCTGGAGCTAAAGAGGCTAAAAAGCTCTGTTGACCTGCAGAGTTGGTGACTTTTCTCTGTCATTTGATGTTATATTGTTCATACAAACACCGAGCCCTGCACACACAATAGAAAAATGTGTTTGTTTGTTTGTTTGTTTGTTCACGCTCCTGCAGGCGAAGGCGTCGGGGAACGATAGCTGAAAAAAAAAAAGTGAAGTGCTTCTGCTATCAGCGGCATTCGGTGTGCGCCTCGTACGGCTCAGTGATCCTATCAGAGTCTGACGTTCTGGTCTGTTTGGTCAGTTGTCAGTCAAACTGACACTCTGAGGGAATCAGACAAATTGTATGGAGGCAGAGCTGCACAGTCTGTCGACGGCTGATAAAAAAGATGGATGTATGACTGAGTGTGATTGAAGTTCTCTCTGAGTTGATAGTTTCAGGGCTGGATGACGATAACTAATTACAGTTTGGAGAGAGAAAGATAGAAAAGGGAAGACTGAGACGGAAAGTGAAAAATAATTGCTGTCTGTCTGGTCCTGCAGCTGCTTCCTCTAGTTCACATATGAACCTTCTTTGACTAACATGCTGTGACATAAGGTTTGGTACTTACATTAATATTTAAATTCATCGCCTGCTCAATGAGTAAATTTAAAAAAAAAAAAAAAAAAAGAACTTTGTAACTTTAAACTTGGTGTTGCCTCTTAGGGTCATTTGTTAAATTTAGTGTTAAGCTACTCTGTAATGGTTCAGGCTATCAACTCAGATCACTCGGTTTAAGTTGGGAAAAGATGTTGCTCTTTGTCAAATATGGAAAAGGTCAATGCTAATTTGAAAAATGAGACATGACATGTTTGCTTTTTCAATATTTTGCCAACCCAACCTAACTTGAAAACTGGGGAAGGCTGGAATCTGGAAAAGGCAAAAAAAGGCAGAATTTGAAAATACACCCTCCTCCTAGCCTGATGAGACCATCTTGATGACGAGAGCTCAATATTCTGTTTCCCTCTCTCTATCAGTTTGGACTTGGTGCTGCTCCAAACACTTTCAGCGGGCAGTAGTACTCACCTTAACAGACAAACTCCTTCAGCCAATCAGCACAACAAAATACAGGTGAACATCTTTGTGACAAATGGAGCCATTTGATAAATCAAGCTTTTGCCAAATCCCGTTGGTAGAACATCTTTTCTCATTTTTTCATCTTTTCTTTTCGTGCATACTCTTGTTCTTATTTAACAACTTCACTTATTGCTGTGTTTACTATGGAGTGGGAGCCACCATCACTGTTATGCAAGTTGCGGCTGTCACTTTATGTCATCAACTGAAACACAGGCCCTGATTGGCTGCTTTCATTGTCAATTACAGTGGGGGTCCCTGATTGGCCCCTATTGGATTTTATTTCATAGAAAGTGTTTGGGTTGACAGTAAGTCCAGACTGATACAAAGAGTGAACCAGAAGTTTGAGCACACATCATTGGGATGGTCTTACTAGACTACCCTGCTCCTGCAGCTCTCCCCTCCCCTCTTAGCCCCTGCCACCAGACTAACATGGGCATATCCATATGCTTCATACAATAACTCAGTATTTTCCATACATTGATTTATTCACGAAACACCAAAAAATCCATGTGGATAACTCATCAGAATGTCCCTTATAAATCATGATCAAGATCCTCAAGATAAACCACAAACCTTATTGTGAGCATGGACTATATAAAGTAAAGGTCACAGCCACCGTGAAATCACCTATTGGTTTGGGGACTCCGGTTTTGAAGCCAAGTTCGGCAGAAGTGACCATATTTAGGCAAGAGGCTAGCGCTGTGGGGAAGCAAGGGGTGGATCTGACTGAGAGGCCGAGGACCCTATCTGCTTATAGCCAGTCACTCAAAGCAACAACATTTAAACAGGTGAGTTACAGTATATAAAAATTTGTCCCCCATCCAGACGCTTTACGTTTATTTCTGATGTAAAATTGTCTCATTTTTCAAACCAGCCTCAAGTGGCCATTAGAGGAACTACAGTTTTTGGCACTTGAATTCATTTTTCAGCCCTGGAGATTGCTGCTTGGTTGTGAGTAGGTTCACGTTGGAACTTTTTTTCTTTGTACCAAACTACACCCACAAAAGACAGCATGCATCTACTCATGGACGCGAGGCTCATGCTCTTGAGACGTAAACATTAATGGGATCCTCCTCGGCTGAGCTGTAACACTAGCTAGCTCAGTGGTGCTAGATGAGCTAGCAGTAGGATTGACAGAAAAAGCTTGAGAACCACCAGCATAAATAGGGACTCCACAACAGGCTGAGACAAAATCGAAGGCACTAACTAAAATTTAGGGATACATTTACTGCTTAATTTTTTTATAGTCATTTTCTCATAATGATAAAATAAATAAATACATAAAGTAAGACCACTCCTACATCATGGTTTGTTCAAATGTTTTTTTCATGTCATTCTGTGCCAGCAGCCATTTCAGACTGAAACTCTTCATCTACTGCTCATCAAGTAATGACCATAATCATCACAATAATAATAAAGTTCATTACAATCAAAGCAACCATATTTATGGCTCTTTTCAACTCCTTCAAGCACCTTAAGTGAATAAATATGAGTAATAATAAATCCCCAGGGGATGTTTTCTGCCGTGATGGTGGCGTATGCAGTGATTGAGACAAACTCTATTGTCATTACTATTATCTTTATTAGAGCTGTCTGCTCAAGCTTTATGTTCCGGGTGATAACAGAGCTGCAAATGAGACAAACAGCTCTGAGGAGATTGATTTGTCCTGATGGTCCGTTCATTATGAAGGAGCATTAAGAAACAGAGACAAAGACCAGTGGAAGAGTGGGGAAAGAAAAGGCATTACTACAACTGCACAACATGCAATCAAACCAGAATCTAAGACAGATAGAACCAATGTTTTTTTCCTATTTGATTTTATGTCATTTTGTTTTATTTTATTATGAAATGTAGGATGCAGTTTTTTGACCCACACTAGCAGTGGTAGAAGACGTATCTGGATTCATTGGATCTGGATACTGGATACTGGATACGTCTGGATACATTAGTTAAGTAATTCCTTGAGATAGCGGCCGAGGAGGGGGAGTTGCAGCCATTTTTAACTCTAGTCTGTTAATCAGCCCTAAAGCTAAACTAGATTATAATTCATTTGAAAGTCTTGTCCTTAGTCTTTTACATCCGACCTGGAAAACCTCGCAGCCACTTTTATTTGTTATAGTGTACCGTGCTCCTGGCCCGTATTCTGAATTTTTTCTGAATTCTCAAAGTTTATATCCAGTTTCGTTCTTAAATCAGATAAAGTTATTATTGTTGGCGATTTCATGTTGACGTTAATGATGACTGCCTTGCTATTGCGTTTATCAGATTATTGGACTCCACTGGTTTCAGTCAGGGTGTACATGAACCCACTCAATGTTTTAACCACACCCTCGATCTAGTCCTGACGTATGGAATTGAAATTGAAAACTTACTAGTTTTTCCACAGAATCCCTCTCTATCAGATCACTACTGAATAACTTTTGATTTCTCTCCATTTGATTACACACCACTCAGCAACAGTTAATATACTAGGTCCTTATCAGATAGTGCTGTAGCAAAATTTAAGGAAATTATTCCATTGGCTTTAAATTTAATACCATGTCCCTCTGTAACTGAGGTTTCCCGTACTGACTTTAAACTCTCCCAAATTGATTATCTTGTCAGTAGCGCTGCAGGCTCGCTGTGAACAACACTCGACTCGGTAGCACCTCTTAAAAAGAAGTTAACAAAGAAAGTTCGCTCCTTGGTACAACTCCCAAACCCGAAAATGAAAACAAATATCATTTGTATAATCATTTGGTCTGCAAAGACAGTCTCAAAATGTATAGGAGGGCCCTCGGCAATGTCAGAGCAAACTATTACTCAGCATTAATAGAAGAAAACAAGAATAACCCCAGGTTTCTTTTCAGCACTGTAGCCAGGCTGACTGAGAGTCAAAGCTCTATTGAGCCTTGTATTCCTTTAGCCCTTAGCAGTAATGATTTTATGAGCTTTTTTTAATGACAAAATTCTAACTATTAGAGGCAAAATTCATGACCTCATGTCCTCAGACAGTACCTATCTAACCTCAAACACAGCTGTAAGACCTAATATATATTTAGATAGCTTGACACCAGATTTCTCTTCAACAATTGACCTTAATGATTTCTTCAACCAGGTCATCAACCTGTCTCTTAGACCCCATCCCAACTAGGCAGACTTACCTTTAGTTAACACCTACATATTAGATATGATCAATATATCTTTATTAACAGGCTATGTACCACACTCCTTTAAGGTAGCTGTAATTAAACCTCTCCTTAAAAAGCCCACCCTGGATCCAGAGGTGTTAGCCAACTATAGACCAATATCTAATCTTCCCTTTTCTTTCAAAGATCCTTGAGAAAGTAGTCGCAGACCAGCTGTGTGATTTTCTCCATGATAATAATTTATTTGAGGAATTTCAGTCAGGATTTAGAGTGCACCATAGCACAGAGACAGCACTGGTAAAAATTACAAATGATCTCATCTCTGCAATTGTTTTATTAGATTTTAGTGCCACATTTGACACAATTGACCATCAAATTCTACTACAGAGACTGGAACATTTAATTGGCCTTAAAGTTTCTGCACTACGCTGGTTTAAATCTTATTTATCCGATCGATTTCAGTTCGTTCATGTTCACGATGAATCATCTTCACATATTTAAGTTTGTTTTGGAGTTCCACAAGGTTCTATGCTTGGACCAATTCTATTCACTTTATATATGCTTCCCTTGGCTAACATCATTAGAAATCACTAGATTCACACTTCCTTCTGCCTAATAATACAGTAACTTGCTCAGGAATTCTGGAAAGAGACATTGCTGTTGAGTTTTTCAAATGTATTTTTATTTTATTTATTTATTTTTTTTTTTTGGGACTTTGAGCACTGCAAGCTGAGTGCCATCCAGTTCCTTTATATTGGGGAGAAAGCAGACATCTCTACAGCCGGAATCTCCAACACTCGGCAACTCACACCAGAATAATCTAGATTCATAAATAACACTACACGCGATGGGCGGGAAAGGTAGTTTTTGATTTCAGGGTGAACTGTCCCTTTAAAGAACATTTCAGTCCCCTCAGCTGCTCTCAAGTTTGGTAGCTGATTTAAAAACAAAACTAAATGGTTGGTGATACTTCACGATTTTGAACCCTCAGCCTCATTAATAAATAGCCTCATTTTAAAAAAAAACTTTTTTGGTTAAAGATAGGCTTTACTCTCCGACTCTGTGAATACATGTATGTCTCACCGCTGGTCCTGGGTACGGGCTGATATCGCAGCCTTCCCTCCAGGACAAATTGAGGCTCCGGATGAACTCCAGGTAGAAGGGATGGCTGCTGTTCAGCATTGAGAAGCCCAGAATGTTGGACTGATCGCCCACCACATCATCCAGCCGCAGCAGAGGGAAGTCCTAAAGACAGAGAGAGAGAGAGACATCAGAGGGAGAATAAGGGGAAAAAAGCTACATCCTCTGTCTGTCTTATGTGATGTATGTTATCAATTTGTTGGAGTTGTGAGCTGCAGAATCAACAAGCCTTTAAGATCACAGTGGGAAGGAAATTTGAGACAAGTGAAGGATGAAAGAAAAGCAGAAGGAAGAAGGGGACAGAAACAAACAAAGGACTTGATTGGGATTTTCTTTTGTAGGCTGCACAACGTCAAGTTCAACTTTAAAATTCAGAGCAGGCTTACAGAGAGAAAAAAGTTTTTTTTTAAAAAAAAAAAAAAAAAGATGGACATCAAACACTGGGGACTTTCAAAGAACTTCAAATAGTCCTTGAAGGCAAGTTGGTGTCATGCTGAGCTCTGCTGCTGAAACAAACCAGAATCAAACTGTTGCTCAGCCCTTGGAGGGTTTGTGTTTGCTCTGAAACAGATGCCGGCAATGAAACATTTAGCTTCAGCTATGAAGTGCAGAGAACGCAGACAAAGTTCTGTTTAAAACAGACACTACAACCTGCACATACAGACAGAAGAGATGAGTTCACCTATGGGTTTCACCTTGTAAAAAACAGAGAGTCTGAATTTACAGCCATGTGAGCAGCCCCGTGAGGCTGTACTTTGGTTCAGCATGCTAACATGCTCCCACTGACAATGTTCACTTGCTAAACAGGATCTAACTCTTGTACAGACATTTTTATTTCCTATTCTACCTTTGCAAACAACTCTTTGCAGTACATACCTACTGGAAACAGTTTGAAACAGTCAAAGTACATACCTACTACTTTACCAACTCTTTACACTGAAACTACTTGATTGAACGTCTGCTCAGAAATGTGTGGGTGTTTACAATTGAATGAATAGGTGTTATCAGTGGTTATCATAGACTGTATGATAATAATGGACATGGCCACAGTGATGTCACACACTGGGTTGTGGACTCCCATTCTGAAGCCTCAAGTCTGGCATTTTGGCCTTCACCATCATGGCTTTTTGGAGCCAGAAGTGACATATTTGGACAAGAGTGTGGAGATAACACTAGCTGCTAGCATAGTTAGCTTGGTAATGCTAATGCTAATTTTTGCTAACACAAAACAGGCTTAAAACCATTCAAACAAAAAATACTTTCTAGGAAACAGAGAACATCAGATTCCTTATAGGGTCTTTTAATTTAACCAAACACTGAACTAGACTTTGTAAAGCAACCAAAACTTTGCAATTAACTTGCCAACCCAGTCTCACTCCGAAGTCGTCAAATACCAGCACTTGGTCAGTGACTTCCCGCATCACACACCAAAAAAAAGCTGTCCTTTAACATTGGCATGATAAGTGGCCATTCATGGTTATTGTTAAACGACACCTGGCAGCGTCAGGTAGAAATACTGTGGGACCACAAACAAAACTAAGGCAGCGTAAGTCCAAGTAAGGCTGGCAGGAAGGGTGGTGGATTGGTTCAACAACCACTGACTTTCACCTGGGAGGATGGTGTTTGCTTCCCGTATTAATGTAAAGCCAAACCCTGCTCTTGTTTCCTAAACCCAGTTGTTGCCTTAATGTGACTATGTGTGTTTGCTGTAAAAGGAAAAAAACATAGCATGTTTATTTTGAAAGAGACTGTATGCAAACTGTATATTTCCTGTATGTCCTGATGTCAAGTAATGACAATCATTTTATACGTTGATAACGGCGTTCTGAACCTACTTCTAACCAATGCAGTATGAGGCTGACAACCACTAATAATGTCCATTCAGTTGAGTGCTAACATTAAAATGGGTGGTACAAACTGCACTTTATTAATACCATCTCTGCTCACTCCTCTGTTGAGTTTGTTAAACCTGTTAGGGTCTGACAAACTTTCACCTTAATACAGGTCTGATCAGGGCTTTTCAGGGTGTTATTGGCTCTCTTATCCCATAGTTTTGACCTTTTTGATGATTCTTTGGTACAAATAGAAATTTTCCTCATGGTGGTGATAGAGAAAAGGTCACGGAATAAGTAAAAACCTTGTGATTTACTGTCCAGCTAATTTCACAGAAACCTACCACCGATATCACCGATAGCACTTAATTTCCTTTACACTGAACAGTTCTTTGCACAATTGCTTTGGTGGTGTATTTGTTTTTGCTCTGAATACAGAGGGCTGTCTGGGACATGGAGATGGGAAACAGGTCACTTTGTTCTTGTTCATGTCATTTTCACTGTTGTTTCTTTTCCCTTTTGATTCGGTAAAGGAGAAAAAGAGAAATTCAGCAAGTAGTTTGTCGACATGTCTCACTCTTGACCAGAGTGTTGGATGGACGAACTGCCACCATCATCATTTGGCTGCAAGTCAAGCGTGGTTAAAAATATTCTGGCACAGATTCTATCCGGTCTGCAGAAACTGTCTGTAGAGGGTATGTGGTGTTGGAGAGGAGAGTTGCTTTTTAATTCACCATCGAGGTCCAAAGCCCAGAGCTTTAGTCACACATCCAAGAAGTATTCAGACCGTGGAACCTTTTCTGACCAGCTGTTTAGGACAACTGCTAACCTGTGTGTAAGGTTAATTTCCTTTTCCCCTGAATCCCTCTGACACTTATTTACTTAACCACATCCCAGCCTGTCGGGAAGCGGCTGCTGCTGCTTTTGTTGTTGTTGCCGCTGGTGTGGTTGACAGTTGCCAAATCAATTCCAGCTACAGCCAAGTACACAGTCAGACTGTGGGCCTGCCAGCCGTGACAAAGAGCAGTTGGCTGGAGGAGTCGCGGCGACGAGGCCAGCACTGCTGAGGGAGGAAACACTGCGACAGTATCCCAGAAGGACACTGGTGATGCTGTGACTGCAGCACAATTCAGACGGGACGCCCATTTAGAAACAAGCTGGTTTTCAGCAGACGATGAGAGCGGGACAAGGTCAGAGCTCCCTGAAGAAAGGATGTGACAGTGTCTGTCTCAGATTTGTGTGGGTTTCAAAGAGCAATAAGTAAGATTTAGATTTTTCCTGCCCTTTTCAGGAGAACATGGCCATCATATATCTGCAGGGGTTGGATAAGATTATTAATCAATATCTGTGACTCACTGATTGCTTCATCCAGAGTTTAGAGAACTCTGGTTTCTGAAACTCACCTCCTGGCTTGTAGTCAGTCTGGAACATAGTATTTGTGACAGGCCTTTAATTCGTTCCAAAAAATAGGCTTTGAATAACAAATCAATTATGAATCATCTGATTTAGCTCAGACAGATAGTGCTTCAAAAAGAGACAGTTAAGACACTCGTTTTACAGCATCCGAGGATGACAGCACCTGCCATACTGACTCACCACCACTTTGTCCTGTTAATATATTAATATTTGCAACTTGGATTAATGTTTATGAAAATCCCTGATTCTTTTGATCAGTGCAGTGGACCTGTACAGACCAGTGGAATATGAATAACTTACCCTGTTGTTGAGGAACCAACACATATTCAAAGTTTATTACCACTTCAGAGGTAATGTGTCACCACTTTTTTTTTGTCTCTCCTGTTTACCATGCCAGTAAATGTGAATTAATTATTTTGTGGCGCTAATGGTTTCAGTAAAATAAACTGAAACCTTGAATTGTGGAGAATCTAATTAAGCCAAAGATGTGTAGCATCTCCAAACTGACAAAAGTTTTTATATGTATGTGCAATCTAAACAGCTAACTAATATTAGCTGAGGTGGGTAGTCAACATTCCGGTTTTTACATCCAAAGAATTTCTATGAAAAAGAACTGCTTGGCAACCAGACCAGGCGTCTAATTGACACAGGCGTTTATTGTCAAAATGTGTGGCCACAACAGGCTAGTAAAAGGGACTGGACATTTAATTGGGACTAAGCTTTTAATTAAAGTTTTATGGTAGGCTAGTCGCTCACCTCATCTCTGGGGTTGGGTCTTACGAGTTAAAACGAATTTGATTGGCACCTTTTGGATCTATTATGTGGGAGGAATCATGAAAGAAACCACCAAGAGACACATTCTCCAGTTTTTTCTTTTAAATAATCTGTAACATTACTTCTAAACTTGTAAAGTCAAGTTAAGGTACAATACCATTATAAAAGGTGAGACTTAAAACACTGTATGACCATTAAAGATTTTTTTTATATATTTATTGAGCCATATCATGATTAAAATCACCCTGAAAATAGTATTTTGCTAAAACAGGCTCTCCCAACCCTGGAGCTTCCGGTCACAAAATCCTTCCCCCTGCCATGTTTGTGCGGCTGCAACAAACATTGGAAACTCACCCTGATTTATTTCAAATTAATTAATTAGATGTTTCTTGTGTGGTCGAATGATAAAAGGGAGCAAAAAATGATGACACAGATTTATATTTGATTCATGATCTGGGAGTATTTATTTTAATAATTTATGTCAAAAGGTTAACTGTTCGGAATATCATGATGTCTGAAAAACAGTGAGTCTAGGTTATACCTATCAGCCAAAAAGCCATTGGAATATACAGGAGAGTACATCTACTTCCTCTTCAGTAACCTATCCATCGACCTTGTAGTACACCCACCTCATCAGCTACCGCTACATCACTGCTCTTGGGAGTCTACAGCCATGTTAGCAGCTCTGTGAGGATGAACTTTTATACTTACCTTACGCAGAATATTAGCTTCGGTGTGCTAACATGGTGGTGCAGTGGTTAGCATTGTCGCCTCACAGCGACACACCCCACTCTGGGTGCGAACCACCATGTTCACCCTGTGTCAGCGTGGGTTTTCCAGCCTCCTCCCACAGTCCAAAGACATGCAGGCTAGGCTGGTAACTCTAAATTTGCCGCAAGTGTAAATGTGAGCGTGAATCACTGTCTATCTCTATGTGTCATCCCTGTGATAGTCTGGTGATCTGTCCATGGTGTACCCAACCTCTCGCCCAAGCTGGGATAAGCTCAGGCCCCCCGTGACCCCCAACTGGATAAGCACTTACAGAAAATTAATGAATCCTAATACGGTCACAATGACAATGTTAACATGCTAATGCTTAGCAAGGTTAATGTTTATCATGGTCACCATCCTGATTTAGAATGTTAGCATGCTAATCTTTGCTAATCAGCACAAAACCATATACTGTATATAAAGATGGATGACACATCTTCACTTACCACCAAAATATTCTGGATACGGCTGCTGCCATCTTGCACGAGTGATGTCATGTGGAGCCAGACTGTGTGCAGTAACTATCACTAGGGTGTGGAATTCCCGCCCAAACACCCATCTGACCAATAGGCAGCAGTGCGATTGATCGCAAACACCCATTGGCGCACAGAGCTGTCAATCATAATGTCGAACCCCCTTTTCATAGCATCAAAGAACAAGTCAAAACCAAACTTATCAGAAAAACAAACAACTGAACATAAATCAGAGTGATAAGAACTGCTCAAAATGACATACACCATCTCTGGGAAAAACTTATTTGACATGTACTCTGATCTTTTAGTTTGGCCCATGTCCCATCTGCCAATATGGAGAAGGTAGGCTTTATGACCTATACTGCAGCCAGCCACCAGATGGTGATCCAGATATTTTGGCTTCACGTTTGGGGAGCTGTCATGTTGTCTATTTTTATATACTGTACATATAGCTACAGCTGAGGCTGATGGGAATGGCATTAGTTCTGCAGGTATTTGAACATGAGTTGAAGTTATGGACATATTAATATGTTGATCAGATGATGGTGCTACATGTGATGTAAATAATCAAAACCAAAGTGGTGGAGCAGCTGACAAACAGACCAACATATGGGACCTGACGGGACGCCATCATGCAAATAATTAAAGGAGGTCCAGATGGCATCACTCTGGAGAAAATGTGTAGTCAATTAGTTGGAATTTAATGAACTTAATCTAATGTTTGCTTTGACCCTCATTAGAACAGCTAATAATCATACATGGGAGCCACATTTTCTGTCAGCCTCAGTGTCTGCAGAGAGCACTAAGAACTGAGCCAGTCAAAACCAGTCATGAAATGAGCCGTTAAACCAAAACTAAGAGCTCAAAGAGGCTAAAAACTTCAACTGACACTTTGCTAAATCTGGTCACTTGAACACAGGCTGGACGATCATAGCATAGCACTGGCCAGCTTTGACAAGGGTTGTACAGTCTTTTCAGATTTCCCTCATTTTCAGGCTGGATTTGAAGATTTTGAGCTGAACATGATGCCTGTGACAGGTGCAACAATTACACTTGTTACATGGAGAGGTTGGAAGGAGATGTGTTTTTTCTCCATTTCAAAACCCAAATCAAATCCTGATAAGTGCAGGGTGAGCTAACAAGGTAGCTAGCTACTGAAGGTACAGCCTACTACTACTTTTGTTTTTTAACTATTATTACACTGAATAAAGACCGACCCTGCTCTACAGGAACCAGTGAAGGGAAGCAGATAAACTTCACCAACTAGCTGTGTGTCATGACATTGTGTGCAGCTGAATGATTTTTGGCATCAATGCCCATCTGCTGGGGGTCAGGGTGCTGGCAGCACAGGGGAACCAAAACACTGTTTTCTGCACACAATGTGATGACATATAACTGATTCAAAATCTGTGAAATTTCCCTTTATTTTCATCGTCTTCTGTTTTGAATGCCAGATGATGTGGTGTTTCACAGTTACGCTGTCATCTAAACGTTATGCTTTAGCTTCTATCTTTATCTTTTTCACCTATTTTCATTGCTGAGTGAGTTTGATATCCTTCATGTATCTTTCAAACCAGCCCATTCTCAATCCCAACTTGTCAAATACTGCCACTTTGTCAGTCATTTTGGCGTCAGACACCAATGCAAAAAGGTACCTTTTGTGGCAGTATGATATGCCACTGAGAAGGATCAGTTTGTAATGCTGCCTGGAAAATCCCTATAGGGTGAATGAGAAGGGAGTTGGATGGGTCCAACAAACTCCAGACTTTCACTCAGTAGTCCAGTCTTCATTTCACATGTGAATGTTGAGCCAAACTACAATGTTTTTCTTAAAAACCTGAATACTTGCTTTTGTTGCACAAGGAAATAAATTTTACTGATATTGTAAGTGTATTTTGAAAAAGACAGCATCTTGCATCATGCATCTAACAAGCAGAAACTGTACATTTCCTGTGAGAACTGAAGTATATTTGAAAAGACACAATGCATTACACAAGTGTAAACTGACACGGTGCACTGGAATGTCAACAACAGACGCAGGAGGATACCCCATGTCATATTTAGATGTGAAAGTCCACTGACAAAGCAGGTTTTTTTGACAAGTTGATACTTTAGCAAGCTAACTGAGCTAACTGCCTGGATGTAAACACTTTAGTCTCTGGCATCTTATTTCCTGTATAGTTTTTCCATCTTTACCCTCAGATGTCTCATAGCCAAACAGCGGTGGTGAACTCTACATAACGTCTGGCGTCAGAAGCCTTCTCGTCTTGTCACAGTCAGCAGAGCGTGTTTAATACAAAGTTAGAGGTAGGTCAAAGACAGTGCTGCAGGTGTATGAGAGTGTGTGGAAGTGGTGAAGTAGGGGAATAATTTTACTTTTGGTTGCTATCCAGGCTTCTGCTGGAGGGGGGAGAACGGCACTTTCGCCCTTGGTTTCTGAGCACAGCGTAAAGTGCCCTTGCGAACAGCTCCGTTAAAGTCCGTGACATGACGGTGTTTAGAGATGAGGCGGAGATTGAGACGAGTTATTATCCACGCAAAGTCTCTCTGCACAAGGGCACAACACCGGATGGTAAAATTATAATGATGACAAACGGCAGCGGGAACAGTGTGCATCTCTGATGAGAGGAGAGAGGGGAGGAGAGGAGTTATGGGTAAAGAGTGCAGTGAGAGAGAAGGATGTGATCCATAAGCATCCTTAAACAAGTGAAAAGATTGGTTTAGTACTAACAAAATAACAAAGATGGTGATGGTGAGATGGAGAAACTGATGACAAAAAAATGATAGGTGATTGTGAGAAAAAAGAAAAGGAAAGGAAAGGAAAGAAAAGGAAAGGAAAGGAAAGAAAAGGACAGGAAAAGAGAAGAAAGTAGAGGAAAGGAACGGAATGCAAAAGTGGTGAAAAGTAATGTAGAAAGACATCAGAGTGGATGAAATAATTTAGGGAATGAAAAAAGGGAGATTAGATAAGCAGGAAACAGACAGAAGGAAAGAGAAAGGGAGGGGAAGGAAAAACAGGAAAAGATTTTGTCAAGGAAAATACACTAAAAAGGGAATGAGGACAGAAGGGCAGAGGAAATGAAAGGAAGAACTAAGACAGAGAGGAGGTATCAAAAAGAAAAAAAGAAAAGAAAAGAAGAGGAAGACAGAAAGAGGAATGGAGGTTGGTATATAGACAGGATTTTGAAAAGGAAAAAATGAACTGCAGAAAGAGATGAGAGTGGAGGAAATAATTTAGGGAAAGAAAAGAAGGGAGGGAAAATAGGCAGGAAAGAAACAAGGAAAAAGAAAAGATAAAGGTTATGGTATCACTGAGGAGAAAGGGATTCAGGGAAGGACAGGAAAATAGGGAGAGGGGGAGGGATTTAAAGGCAAAAGGGAGAGAGGAAATGGGAGAGGAGGTCAGGTTAAGGAGAGGAAAGGAAAAGTAATAAAGAAAGAGGAGATGTGAGAAGAAGTGTCAGGGATTAAAGAAAAACGAGAGACGACAGAAAGAGACAACACAGGGAACGTAAAAGGAAAGGACAAGGAGGGGAGGACAGGTTTTGGAAAGGAAAGGGAAGGAAAGGAAAGGAAAGGAAAGGAAAGGAAAGGAAAGGAAAGGAAAGAGATGGAAGGGGGGAAGGACAAAATAAAGGAGAGAGGAAGAGATTTAGTAATGGAAAGGAAACAAAAAAGGGGGTGAGGACAAAAATAAGAGATTAAAGGAAAATGAGCAGTGAGTCAGAGAGGAGGTATAGGAAAGGAAATAATGTAAAGGGATGGTGAAGAAAAGGAAATAAAATTGTGGGGGAAGAAAAGAAAAGAGACAGGGAAATAATTAAAATGGAGGAGAAAAGAGTTACAGAATTTAGCAACGAGGGAAGGTGAGATGACTTAGGAGTGAAAAGGAAAGGAAAAAAGGGATGATGCACTTTAGGAAAGGAAAGAATAACATGATAGGAGATGAAGGAAGCCAATGGATGACAAAGAACAAAAAGTAAGGGGAATTTAAGGAGTTAAAAGAAGGTAGTATAGGAAAAAAAGGAACAAGGAAAGACATTGACAAGGAAATTAGAGAAGACGAGGGGTTTAAGAAAAGGAAAAAAGTAAATGCAATTAAGGAAATGAAAATTACATAAACAGATTCGGACAAAAGAAAGGAGATGACAGAAATTGAGGTTTAACAGCGAAGGAAAGAAAAAAGGGAGGCATCTGTAATTGTACAAAAAAAGACGAGCACCTTCGTCTTTATGAGGAAGAATAAAAGAGGAAAAGAAGTTTAATGGATGATGAGTGCGTCATGATGACTGAAAAGACAAAGCTCTTACCATGGTGGTGAGGATGTACTTGTAGAAGGCTGACGTCATCCCCAACTCGTTTGCCTGCAGATCACCAGAAGAAGAAGAAGAAACTAATGTCAGTGCCGTGAAACAGGAAGTACAAATCTTAAAACTTTATCTAAGGAAACATGAGTCACAGTTTATTAAGAAAAAAACAAGGGAACCATCTGTTTTATATCCCTCCTCCTGCTCACTGGAGTTTGTCCTAAATTGGAGACAATTATGTCTCATCCTGACACTCTATGTTGGAGCCTTCCTGCTTCTTTAACAACATGAAACAGTGATTATGTTCCAGAATAAAACTACAGGAGCTGTCAGTGATGAAAAGCTGCTCAGAAAAGTATGGGGAGGTAATAATAAGAAGCAGAGCAACAGCTGAAAGAGCTCAGTTTGCTCTGATGTGATGAAAAAACGTCTAGACATCTATAATCGTAGTACTATAATGGTTTGGAGGTTTTGTGGTTATATGTAACCCAGACATCCAAACACTTTCAGTCAAACATAGCCGGAATTCAACAGGGATGTCTCCATGTCTTTTCACCTGCAAGCAGTACAGTGATCAGTCTGACTCTCTCCTAAGAAAGTTACTCTCAATTACCTGATATTTAGCATTGTCAGACCCATACTTGCAGTCCTCATCTGTTTCAGATGTTATCACTCAATGAAATGGACATTACTAGAGGTTATCAGTCTTATACTGTGGATATGGGTTATCCCCAGAGAAATATAGCAAGTTATGGAAGAAAATGGCAAAAGTAGCCTGCTACTTGCAAAGCTACTTTTAAAAATTATATTTTTTTACTCAATAAAGCCATAATAAATAAAAGACTAATATAAACAATAACAAAAACAGACCTATTGAAAATATTTATTTCAATTAATCAACTTTGCTACTGAAAAGCAAAGTGACTCAGAAAGTAGTGACGTTACTAGTCTCGCCACCAGCCAATCAGAGATCTCCGCCTTCTGATAGTCTGGGGACACTCCTTTCTAAAGTGTGTTTAACACACCGGAGAAAACGGCTGGCGACAAAGCAACGCCTCTTGCATTTTTAAAAAAGACACGCCTTCTCAGAAATGTGCGCTCCCCCTTTTCTCATCTGCAAGGAAACAAACACACAGAGAGCTTGAAAATGGATGCCGAGAGATTTAACTCCGTTTTATCAAACGTGTGCTCATCCGTGAAGAAAATATTTTTTTCCAGCAGATGTCTTAGTTACAACATTACTGAGCTAACTGGAGTAGTGTCATGTCGTATCCGACAACGGGAGGCTTTTAACAGATGACGTCCTGATGTTAGCTTTGCTGCTGCTGTTAGGCTGTTAGCTGTCCCTGTCAGCTGCAGCCACTGATGCTTTCTAGACATCGTGATTTCCCAAAACTGAATAAATACCAAACATAGCAACACAAAACTGCTTTGCTAGCTCAATCATGTTGTAACTAAGATATCCGCTGGAAAAAAAAATTTTTTCATGGACCGTTTAACACTGCTAACGGCTAAGAAATAGTAATGTTTGTTCAATCATTGTGTTTATAGACCTTACAAACATCGGATTAGTCTGAACGGTGATACAGTGATGTGAAAAATGTGATATATATATATATATATACAGTACAGGCCAAAAGTTTGGACACACCTTCTCATTCAATGCGTTTTCTTTATTTTCATGACTATTTACATTGTAGATTCTCACTGAAGGCATCAAAACTATGAATGAACACATGTGGAGTTATGTACTTAACAAAAAAAGGTGAAATAACTGAAAACATGTTTTATATTCTAGTTTCTTCAAAATAGCCACCCTTTGCTCTGATTACTGCTTTGCACACTCTTGGCATTCTCTCCATGAGCTTCAAGAGGTAGTCACCTGAAATGGTTTCCACTTCACAGGTGTGCCTTATCAGGGTTAATTAGTGGAATTTCTTGCTTTATCAATGGGGTTGGGACCATCAGTTGTGTTGTGCAGAAGTCAGGTTAATACACAGCCGACAGCCCTATTGGACAACTGTTAAAATTCATATTATGGCAAGAACCAATCAACTAACTAAAGAAAAACGAGTGGCCATCATTACTTTAAGAAATGAAGGTCAGCCAGTCCGGAAAATTGCAAAAACTTTAAATGTGTCCCCAAGTGGAGTCGCAAAAACCATCAAGCGCTACAACGAAACTGGCACACATGAGGACCGACCCAGGAAAGGAAGACCAAGAGTCACCTCTGCTTCTGAGGATAAGTTCATCCGAGTCACCAGCCTCAGAAATGGCAAGTTAACAGCAGCTCAGATCAGAGACCAGATGAATGCCACACAGAGTTCTAGCAGCAGACCCATCTCTAGAACAACTGTTAAGAGGAGACTGCGCCAATCAGGCCTTCATGGTCAAATAGCTGCTAGGAAACCACTGCTAAGGAGAGGCAACAAGCAGAAGAGATTTGTTTGGGCCAAGAAACACAAGGAATGGACATTAGACCAGTGGAAATCTGTGCTTTGGTCTGATGAGTCCAAATTTGAGATCTTTGGTTCCAACCGCCGTGTCTTTGTGAGACACAGAAAAGGTGAACGGATGGATTCCACATGCCTGGTTCCCACTGTGAAGCATGGAGGAGGAGGTGTGATGGTGTGGGGGTGTTTTGCTGGTGACACTGTTGGGGATTTATTCAAAATTGAAGGCACACTGAACCAGCATGGCTACCACAGCATCCTGCAGCGACATGCCATCCCATCCGGTTTGCGTTTAGTTGGACGATCATTTATTTTTCAACAGGACAATGACCCCAAACACACCACCAGGCTGTGTAAGGGCTATTTGACCAAGAAGGAGAGTGATGGAGTGCTGCGGCAGATGACCTGGCCTCCACAGTCACCGGACCTGAACCCAATCCAGATGGTTTGGGGTGAGCTGGACCACAGAGTGAAGGCAAAGGGGCCAACAAGTGCTAAACACCTCTGGGAACTCCTTCAAGACTGTTGGAAAACCATTTCAGGTGACTACCTCTTGAAGCTCATGGAGAGAATGCCAAGAGTGTGCAAAGCAGTAATCAGAGCAAAGGGTGGCTATTTTGAAGAAACTAGAATATAAAACATGTTTTCAGTTATTTCACCTTTTTTTGTTAAGTACATAACTCCACATGTGTTCATTCATAGTTTTGATGCCTTCAGTGAGAATCTACAATGTAAATAGTCATGAAAATAAAGAAAATGCATTGAATGAGAAGGTGTGTCCAAACTTTTGGCCTGTACTGTATATATATATATATATATATCTGCTGGTTTTCTACCCGGAAGTATTTGTAAACAACAAGGCGACTGCCTCTATAGTCTGGCCGGACGGATGAGTCATGGCCTTGTAAAAGATTATGTTTGTTTCTTTTAGTTGGCGAGAATGTGTCGCCGCAAACGCGACAAACATCCCCTAACTTTGATGCCGTTTTCTGCAAGCGTGGCTGAGCCATTTTGTACCGCTACACGTGTTTCTAGTGGGACTATGTTTACAAGCACAAGAGTTCAGCGAGCCACAGAAGGACCGCCCTGCAGATTTACTAATGGTTCTGCAACATAAGGAGTTTTTTAAAACTCTGAAATTGTATCCACCTATCTAAACACAAAATCAGGGAGAAAGTCATCAGTCTTTAGTTAAGCAAAGCATCTAACTTGCGTCTGACTTGTGGGTCTATAACGTTACCATCACACCACTGAGAAATGTAGTTAAGTTAGTAACGTCACTATTTTAAGTGATGCTACTGCCCACTGTAACATAACTTATGTATCTCACTTTAAATAATGTTGACATTTGGTTTCATGCAGGACACAAACAACAGTCTCCAGGGTTAAAGTCTGTGTTTGTTTGACCCTACTCCCTGCGCCAGCTTCCTCGCTCTTTAAACTAAAATTATGCTATTTAACTTCCTTCATTGCTCCCATCATAATTACTGCAGCCACCAGAGGTCGCCACCAAACAATAAACATGGCCATTTAAGAGAGCTGGATACAGTGTTGGAGGCAGGGTCCTGATTGTTCCAGTTCCATTGCTCAGTGGTGCATAACCCCTAAAAGTTCAACATCCAGATTATAAAATGACCCAGATCTTTCACACTGTTGGCCCAAAGATCAAGCATACTAGAGACTTTTGGCTGCTGAGCAGGTAACTTCTGCAGGATGGGCAGCTTACTTCCAGTTTAGTCTTCCACTAGTGATGGCCAAATGAAGCCTCATGAAGCATTTTCTTTATTTTATGAGCCCACTAGATGGCACTTTCTGTTCAACAAAAGGTTGGAAGCACACTGAATTGCCATTCTTTGAGCCTCTCTCTACAAACCAAGAGCGCCCTCTAGTGGGCTCATAAAATAAAGAAACTACTTCATGAGGCTTCATTTGGCCTTCCCTACCGTCCACTAACTTCAATCAGGTTAAAATGATTTAATTGTGCATTCATTTACAGGTGTCTCTTTCACAATGAAAGTCTATGGAAAAAAGTCTTTTTGGGTCAAATGGCATATGATGACCCAAAAGTTGTAATTCAACCAAACCCAAACCCAGCACTGTTCCTCGAGGCTTGGTTAGCATGGTTTTACTCCAGGTTCTCCAGCGTCCTCCCACACAACTACATTCAAGGACTTCTGTCGGTAAAAGTTGATACCAAAATTGTCATATAAATCAAAGACACGGCAAGAGATTTAGTCGTTAAAGACCAAACTACAAACTGGCTTTGTGAACAAAACCTAGTGATTTCTGCAGCATACTTTTTACATCATGCCCTGCCTCCTGCACACTCTACTCCACCAACCCTCTCCTACACCAAACAGAATATTTCCAATAGGTGAAAACGATTGTGGTTTGGGTTAAAATCCCTATTTTTGTTTAGGTTAGGAGAGCTTTGCTGTCATGGTTACAATAAAAACATGTGGTTAAGGTTATTGCACGAAGGTGGTCATGCCTAAAAATGAGCAGCACTGACTGTGGGTTTGAGATGAGAAACAAAAAGCTCTCTCCTGTGTTCATGTCTGCATGTTGCCTCTGAGCAGCTGCTGCTTCACACTGTTTGCATGCAGAACCTGATAGAACAACTCTCCCAGTACAAATATTCAGCCAGGCTGGGACTGGAACTGGCAACCTCACAGTGGAGACCTTCAAACTGACTCTGTTATTAATCCATTAACCTTCCACACACTGTGAGCTTCTCTCTGCTGTGTTCTGCCTGCAGGAGCTGAGTTTATAGGGAAAAAAAAGACAAACATGACAGAGTTACTGAGCGCTTTTATTTTGTATTCAAAACTTCTTGGACCTCCAAGGTTACTGGGCAGAGAGTGAAATTACAACCTGCCAAGAGCTGGTAGATTTAGTTTGAGGCTGTAAAATCTGTTGACTCTACTGGCCAGTTTGGCAGGAAACCAACCCATGTCTGAAGGTCCTGTTCTACTCTGTAACCACCACAGAGGAAGAAACAGACACACAAAGCAGAAAATAAAGATGTTTCAAAAAGACAGAGGAGCAGCACTGCTTAGGGGCCTTTTTATTGAAGTGTTTCTTTATTTCAGGTGATTCGATTGATTCAGATTGCCACTGCGGAACTACATCTGTATTTATTGACAAAATGAATTCACATTAAAATCAAAAAATGGTGCCATTTGCCATTTGCTATTTGCCATTTGCGTTTTTATTTTTTTTATTTTTTTTTTTTGGGGGGGGGGGGGGGGTAGTCACTAGCAGTCTATACCAAATTATCTACTTATTCTACATAAACCATAAAAACTATGAATAAACTATTTAAAAAATAAAACTATTAAATTAAATTAATGGAATTCATCTTATCTGATGTACAGGAGGTTTTGTGTCTCTCAACATCCATTTCTCCTTATTTTCTTCTCTGAAGTATGGAGTGCCTCAGGGGCTGGTCCTGGGACCAGTTTTATTCTCCTTGGACATGCTTCTCCATGGGCACATTATTTAAAGACATGTACCCCTTTTCAACAGTCATAGGATGGCTTGGCATGGCATGGCATGGCTTGGTTTGGGCGGTCAGCCTGGCACAGCAGGGATTTGCATTTCCATTACAACAAGGCTACCTTCTTGAAGGTGTGTCTTAAACTGATGACTGCTTGTCTTGAGTGATGACATTTAAAAGTAGTGGGCTGATGCACAGCTAAAGTCCCGTTAATTTTGTTGCATGTTTTTCCACAGCAGCACAGGTAAAAGAAGTTTACCTGTTGGAGAGAGGTCAGAGACCCTCCTCACTCTCCACTTTCAAGAAAACCGTTAAAATACATCTGTTCAAAACTGCCTACAACCTCTGAAATCAGTGTACTTTGCCCACCCTTTCTGGACTACTTCCCTCCCTAACCCCCGTAATTTTTATGTATTTTTTATTTTTATTTATTTATTTTTTTTGGCTTACTGTTGTTGCTGTTTTTAAAGCATCTTTGAGTTCCCTGAAAAGTGCTATATAAATCCATCCATCCATTTTCATAACCGCTTACCCTCTTGAGAGTCGCGCGTGGGTGGGGGGCAGAATATTTGCTAAGCCCTGCCCCTTTGTGATGGTCTGACAAGCTGTCAGAGTAAGCATGGAGCCCACACTGTAGCTTGCACTCCCTGAAGAAATATTAGCATATTTTTGGAAAAATGAAATAGTGATTCCAGAGAAAAGCAGACAGTGGAGTCTACAAAATGTGTTTGAAGGATATATCCAGGATGTCAAACTGACTGAGCAGCAGCAACAGGTTAAAAAGACAAAGATAGTTAGAACCTAAAGCCGAACTATAGCTATAGGCTACCATGAGTAAATGTACATATTTACTTTCCACCACTGGCTTCTGTGGAGTCAGTGAGTTGGCAGCTAATTTCAGCTGACCCCATTCTTGGCCAATATTACAGTTTTTACATTGTGGACTATTCACATCATGAGATGCCATGCTGCATTAGAATAGCAGCTCCAGTCTGCACTGTGAAACTATCAGTGGATAACTTTTGATATTCAGAGAGAAGGTGATGCAGCCCCGGCAGGGTTGCTTTCAACAGTGAAGTCAGTGAGAATCAATAAAACCTTTGACATCCTGACCTTCCTAAGGATGTGATAAGAGATGGAGGCGTTTGCATCGATGATGATGGTGGCCACTTTGTCGTCACGGATCTCCTTCAGCAAGGGGGTGGGGTCAAGGCTGTCGTCCAGCATTCGCACCGACAGTGTCTCCCTGGAGATGAGGAAGCGGTGGACCAGCTCCTCCAATCGCAGCAGGCCTACGGGGTGGAGCCAAGAATCAGGAAGTGGGTGACAGAAGCATATAACATATAATAAAACCAACCCAATTTTTCTGCAAACAATGGACACATTTCATTTACATGTTAATATGTAGCAGAAATATTGAAACTTCACGTTTCAACAAGGCTGTGGATAATATGCGGTTAGGTTTAGGCACAAAACCCACTTGGTAATGGTTAGAGAAAGGGCATGTTTTGGCTTTAAATACGAGGTTTTGGGTGCACATCCCTACAGGAAATGTATCTATAAAAACAATCACCTTTTTTTTGCACTATCTCTGCTGGAAATGCGACAGGTCACTAAAAAGCATCCATGTTGGGGGGCTAAAAAGCTGCTGGAAAAACAGCAACGGGTTGTAAAAAATCGCCCATTTTGGGGCCCAGAAGCTGCAGGAACACAGCAAAGAGTCCCTAAAAAACACCCCAGTTGGGGACTGAAAAGCTGCTGTAATAACAGCCAGGGGTCGACAAAAAACACCCATGTTCGGGGCCCAGAAAGCTGCAGGAAACATAGCACAATGGAAAACAGCCACTATGGAAAACAGCCACATTTGGGGGTCTGAAAACCACACCACAACAGGTATGGGTCACTAAAAAGCATCAATTTTGGGGGGCAAAAAAGCTGCCAGAAACACAGTGACAAGTCCCATTAAAAACATACATGTCTAAGGATAAAAAGCTGCTTTAAATACAGACATGCCCCCCCAAAAAACACCCACATTTGGGGTTGACAAGCCACAGCAACAACAGCTATGGATCACCAAAAAGATCAGTTTTTGGGAGCCAAAATGCTGCAGGAAACACAACAAGGAAAAGCACCCACATTTGGGGTCTCACAAGCTGCAACAAAAAACATTTACAGGTCACTAGAAAGCATCAGTTTTCGGTGGCCAAAAAGATGCTGAAAAGAAAAGCTAGGCGTCACTAGAAAGCATCGGTTCTGGGGGCAAAGGGCTGCTGAAAACAACTTCGGATCACTAAAACAAACCATGTTTGTTGCCCGAAAAGCCGCTTGAAACACAGCAATGGCTCACTAAAATCATGACCGGTTTTGTTGTTTCTGGTCTTGAAAAGTGATCTGCAGATTGGCAGGTGTCTCATCTAAGTGTCACGCCATCCCCTTCACCTTGGGTAACAAAGTCAGCTTATACACTGCATCACTTTAGAAGCGTTGATATGAAATGTACAAATCTAACATATGTGTGGTTTGCAGAAACGTACAATGCCAACATTTTCCTCTGGCAACTGCTGACTAAAACACATCAATAAATATGTCAGCCTTTCCCAACATAGATTTATGGTAAAAACTGTTAAAACGCTCAGGACTGCTGTGAGGAAGAGACAGGAGTCCGTAAATAAATCTTCCCTCAATGTTTACCTTGTTTACTAAAATGATTGCTTGGACTTGGTAAATAAGAAGTCCCAGAAATTTATGGGACTCATTTGAGACAAATAACCATCTCTTCTCTGAAAGGTTTGAGCAGCTGCAATAAACAGATGGCTATAAAGGTGATTATGTTGAAAGTCCATTAATTTTCCCACAGACAATCAATTTGGACCTGTCCAGAAAAAAAGTCTGGATTCACTGATATTTGGTTCAATTTATTCATACATTTAGGAGGATAATTTTAACTCATTGAAAAGTAGATCATAAAGTTTCATTATTAAAATATTTTTCTGGGTAACTTTTAGGAAAGGCTGCTGCTATTGCATCATCTCAGTTTTAACATTCAGGGCCGGTCGGCCTTCGTCTCGTCTCCTCGTCCGGTCCTGACAGAAGCAGCAGGCGTGTCTCGTCTAATCGGCACCATAAAGCGTTCATCACAACACCACGGGGTTTAACTGGCCGACCGCAACGTTCACGACAACATTACAGGCTCGTTAAACACTGGTGTTAACAGGATGAGGGTACGGCTAAAGACTGAGAGAGAGTGTGCAGCGAGAGCAGAGCAGTGTTAAAACAGTGAGCCAGGGCAGCCCAGTCAGGCGGAAAAACAGGAGGGAGATCGATGAAGGAAATGTGGAAGGGAGTAGGGAAAGAGGAGTAAAGGAAGGAAGCAAAGGGAAGAAGAGAAAAGAGAAACCGAGAAAAGTGAAGGTCACACCAGCATTTAAAACTGCTAAATTTCACAGCAAAATCAATTGTAGCAATTAGTGAATGGGTTCAACTTAGGTGAACCGTGACATGTGAATTGGGACTGTTTTAATGGGAGTGCACCAAAAAGAATAGAGAGAGGAGAACGTGTGGAGCCCACAAAAAAAACGTCTGCAGGTGTTTCAGGCAGAAATCACACAAATTATACCTACATGTCCCAGTAAATTTAACAATGATAGATCATCATCAAGTGTTTGTCCTTGTTTTACAGTCAACAAACAAGTTTTTTTTGATTCCAAATAATCCCAACATAACATAAAATAATCACCCAATAGCTCTCTTTCAAGAAAACAACTAAAGAGTATCTCTGGGACTGCTGATCTCTTATTGTTGGACAATATATTGTCCCAGAAATAATTGTGATACATGATATTACATTTTAAGCCTCTGATATAAGGATAATATATAACCCTACCCGGTTAAGTTTCTCTTACAGTTTTCATCCATGTCTGTAAAAACATGGATGCTTTACACACATCTTCTCCCCTGCAGCACAGACGATCTATACAATCAACACAATTTCAAGGTGGGCACCCAAGATTAGTGTCACCAATAATGTATTCAACCAAATATTGCCCCTTGTGTTCCTGAGATATGACATTGAAAAATGGCCAGAAAAGTGTTTTATGCAGAACATTATGATGTTACAGTGAAGCTGACCTTTGACATTTTTGGATATAAAATATCATCACCTCATCATTTTATCCTATTAGACATTTGTTTGAAGTCTGTCATATTAAGCATATGAATTCTTGAGTTATGGCCAAAAAAAAAAATATTATGAGGTCACAGTGACCTTGACCTTCGACCATCTAAATCCAGTTCATTGTTGAGTCCAGATAAAAGTTTGTCACAAATTTGAAGAAATTATCTCAAGCTGTTCTTGAGATATGACTTTCAAAAGAATGAGATAGATGAGGTTACAAAGACTTTGACCTACGACCACCAAATCTTTATCAGTTCATCATTGAGTCCAAGTGAATGTTTGAGCCAAATTTGAAGAAATTCCCTTAAGCTGTTCTTGAGATGTTGCATTCACTAGAATGATATAAATGTAAAGTCACAGCAACCTTGACCTTTAACCCTTAACCATCAAAATCTAATCAGTTCATACTCGTGTCCAAGTCTATCTCTGTGGCAAATCTGAAGAAATTCCCCCAAGGTTTTCTTAAGATGTTGCGCTCATGTGAATGAGAAAGACAAGATCACAGTGACCTTGACCTTTTCCCAATGACCACCAAAGTCTAAGCATGCGACATATGAAACAGGTGAGTGTACGTACAGATGGACAACCCAAAAACATAATGCTTTCAGCCACGGCTATCACCACTGTGGAGGCATAAAAACAGAATGCAATGTTTAGAGTGTTCAATGTTGGTTTTTAGCCTCATCCCTTACGTGCAGAGATTTCTCTGGATTCTCTGAATCTTTTGAGTCTATTATCAATTGTAGACGGTGAAACCACTAAATTCTTTGCAACTGTGCATTTAGAAAGATTCTGAAACTGTTGAAATGACCATGCAGTTTTTCACAAAGTGGTGAACTTCACGCTGTCTGTAAAAGACTGAGCCTTTAGAGGATGCCCCTTTTATATCAAATAATGATACTATCACCTGTTACCAATTAAGCAGTTTACCTGTGGAATTTTCCAAACCACTTCCAAAAGCACTTTTTTTTTCTTTCTTTTTTTGAATTATTAGTAATATTCAGGCATTGGACTTGGAGTTTAAAAAAAAAAAAAAAAAAAAAACTTTAAAAAAAGTAACAAAATAATAATGTACCTTTTATAGGAGTATCACAAAATTACTTAGTTTGAGACTTCTGGCAAACAAAAACTAAAGTGATGGCTCTTGAGACTAACAGACAAACCTAGTAATGCTCCTGGAACACCACCGTTACCTCCATGATCCAGCCACTGTGCTGCAGTCGGCTCCCGGGATGAACAGTCTAGGAGCGGGGCAGTTTGCTGGTGGATTTACGGAGTGGAGGATGAAGTTGTTGGGGGTAAAACTACAACAGACTTTTTGGCTCATTGCCCAGGGCTTGCCAAGCTAAAGACTGTCAGGAATACACCTCTTCCACTTCAAAACGCAACTGCAGGCTACCAGTAAGCCACAGTGTCGTCTTTGAAGTGTTATTTTTTTTTTTTCCCAGACTTGCGTTAAGTAGGCAGGGGTGATGACAAAAAAGGCATATCACTGTGTCCAGGTCTTGTAATGGTCATGCAAACCCTGCTGTTAATTCTGTCATCACGTTGGCTAAAATGATTTAACAAACCTGCATGTAAAAGCAATGGGCATAATCAAGGTCAGCAAAATAATCAAAGTCATTTCCTTGTATTGTACGATAAGTCAATAATGTAATTACAGTATCATGGCAGGCCTAAATCTCATTGAACACTACTGTTTGATGTGAACAAAACCTGACTGTCCCTGGTACAGTACATTCAGCCACTCAGCACTTCTTGAAGTATCAAAGTCCAGCAGAGCAACACCGGGCGATTGAACATTCAGAGGAGAGCAGATAAACATGAGTGATGAACAAGGAGATTCAGTTGGGCTCATAAAGTTACCAGAGAGGAAAAAAACCTCTTGAGAAAAGATGGATAAAAGCACAGAAATGACCAGCCAGAAGCAGGAGGTAAGAGCAGCTCTAAAATCAAATGTTTTCAGCCTTGGAGTGGAGGAGGCTGCACTGTAACCTTCAAACTATGGAAATAAAGAGATGTGAAGGAGGAAATGGAGGACATCACACACACAAACACACACTTCACAGATGGACTCACACTCTGCTTTGGCACAGACGAGGCTGGTTGTTGGGTAGCCAAAGGAGCGCAGGATGGATCCAATGGCCAGGCTCAGGTCCTCATTACTCGGGTAAAGAGTCACTGAGGCAAAGCGAAGGTAGGGGAGCTTCGGAGTTTCCTCCGGACCGATCTTCACATGAGGAATCTGAGTGAAGGAGGGAGGAGGAAGAAGAGTTATTGGGAAGGAAAAACTAAAGGAAAGAAAAGCATTTGTCAGCTTCAGGGTTTCATTTGGGCCTATCTTCATGATCTGAGGGAAAATAAAAGTATGATAAAAGAAAGGAAAAGGCAATGTAAGGAAAAGGGCAAGACTAGAACAGGAATCAAAAGTAAAGTAAATGAAAAGTTAGGAGAAAAAAAGATGAAGTAACAAGGAAATGACTGAGAAATAGAAAGGGGAAATAAAGAAAAGGTGATGAAATCAAGAGAACAAATGTTTGAAAAAAAAAAAAAAAACATCAAACCTTACAGGCTTTACGAGAAGTTCAGATAACAGAAATGGAAGCTTTAATCAGACTCCGATGCTCGCTGATAATCGAGTCTTTGTTCGCTTTCAAAAAGAAAATCTGAAAATGGAGCAAAGCCCAGACCATCAGTGATATTAGAAAAGTGTTTCATGCAGGAATCATAGAGAGAGTTTGTGTTCATCTCCACTCAGATGAAACATTAATATCAAAGGATGTATGGATATTTCAGAGAAGATAAGAAAGGAAGAGGAAGAAAGAAGAAATGTAGTAATTTTAACAAAACGGAAAAGAGTCCAGCAAGTGTCCAAAACAAAAGGAGTCATCTTCTGAGGGGCATGACTGTGCTCAACTATCTGTTCATCAGATTTGACCTCATGGTGGAACTAAAGGGAAGATCAGTTAAACGATAAAGTCAGTGATTTTTTTTTTCCTTTCCTCTGTGGCCAAACCTAAACAGGAACTTTTTTGGGGACCCAGGAACTCTGGTTCCAGAAATTCCCTTAACATAAAATCTAATCTGCCTTTGGACTGAAGGGACCTGGGTAGTGTTCAGGTACCCCACCAGAACACGATGAGCTCTAACAAAGTATCCTGTTTCAGTCCGATTTTGGGCAATGGTATCCCTGTACACTATTAGAAATAAAGATTCCAAAGGTTTCTTCCTTAAAGGCTGAAGTTCTACACAGAACGATTTGCTTCTGAAGGCCCTTTTTGAAGAAAGAGTTCTTTAAGGGTTCTTTGTAAATCTAATGGTTTCATTAAAAACTATACAAGAAACCTTTTTCAGAAGAAATAGTTCTTCAAGGGTTACTGAAAACATGGGTGTTAAAAGATGCTCACCCTCAAATAATCAAATGTTTCCCATGATTCAAATTATGTTTTTGAACGTAGATGATTGTAAACCATTGTGTTGTGTTTTGTACTAGACAACATCAGCTCTGGTCCTTTAGGAGCCTCACTAAGACCAAGACTGCTAGGCATGGTTTCAATGGCAGGAGACTAACCTGGTGCACGAAAACCATGATTAGTGGGAGAGAGATCTATGGATAATGTAGTCAGGTACTATGTTTTAAAGCCATCCTGGTTTGGTTCTAAATGAGACCCTTGGAACAAAAAAGGACTGTTAGCACCCTTAGAAAGTAGAAAGGTTCTGAACAGAATAACCAGAGAGGGTTCCACGTGAAACAGTTGCACCATAGAGGGGTTTTCTGTAGAACCTCTCATAGCGGGTTCTGGGTGCAACCCATCACAGATGGTTCTAAGTATAACCCTTTATGTTGGATTCTAGATAGAACCTTCTAACAGGTTCCAAGTGGAACCTTTATAAAACAAGCTGAAGAACTCTATATGGTTCAAATTAGCACCTCTATTTCCATGAGTGTATTTAGAGATTATTTTATCTTTCTCATACCTATGACAGACAGGATTACCTTCATCAAATGTCTAAAACCAGTTTGAGGTAGAGAGAAGGGTTCCCACTTCAACACACTCCAACACATTGGATTTTGATTATTTTATTATTTTTTTCACATACAACAGTGTTTGGAAAACAGTTTGGAGCCAAAGCCAATTTCAACAAAAGGATACAAAGGATAGGACCAAGCCCCCAGAAACAGCGCCAGGCTTTGAAGTCAATTTGACATATTGGCCAGTCTGTGGAATTACAATTTCTTGGTCCACCACATGATGCCACTGGGCTAAAAAAGACTTTTTCCTATACAGTTAAATTGTTTCAGAGACATCTGTAAATCCATGGATACTTTTTGGGTGCATTAAACCCCCCCTGAAATGACTCATCTGACTATCGGGATTTGATCTATTTGGTCTGATAACAGTTTGAAAGTCTATAAGAGGCACAGTATTAAATCATTTCATCCCCATTCAACTTAGTCGAGGGCTAAACTGCAAGTTAGTTGCTCAGGAGGCAGAAGTCTCAGAAGTAAGATCAGAATAATTTTATACTCAGATTGCCAAACTTCATGCGCTCCTGCAACTTTCATAGAAATGAACGAGGCTCCTCTGCCAATGTTGTATCCAGTTCTATTCATACAGCCAGAGAGAGAACCCATGCAGAAGTTAAAGGTGGTTCTAAATCTAGTTGCTGAACCGCATGGTAGTTTTTAGCACCCACAAGTCCCTTACCTAGTGGTAGTACCCTCTGGTGGCCCAGGACTTATGGGGGCAGAGACTGCAGTGCTTATTGTAGCATTAAAAATATTTTTTACAAGGGTTGTAACCATTTTTTATATTCTTACTGAACTGTCACAGTCTGTTACACACACAGACCCACACAGAATACATGGTATGTAGATTGATGCGTGTAATGTCGAATACATGTGAACAAGCTATGTTCCCCCCAGACACTTCTAGCCCTATGCTGTTAGCTACGTGCTGAGGTTAGTACAACAAGTGGACTGATTCAGTCACACTATGACGAACACAAATAAAACGGCGGAGCTAAGAAATCCATCTGCAGGTTCCAGGACAGCTACAGCAGCAAGAGGAGGAGAGTTGTGTATCAAAGAAAGATTGTGTGTTGGTGTTGCTCCACTGCTGGTGGGGATTTGAATAAAATTACATCCAGCATGCCTACATTCCCCAGAAGTGCAGATTACTGAGATCATAAACGTTCAGATGCTTTGAATGTTTGAATATAGTCAAGGTGGAACTAATTATAACACTCCCCCGATGCAAAAAAAAATATCTTGTATCATTCTGTGTATTTTGGTATTGTCAATTTCATATCAAACGATACATTTTTATAGCCTGTTATGACCTGTTGCCTCCTAGGAAAGTGTTTGTTCAGTGTCCGTACAGCACGATACACAACTATTTGTTATTTGTTCCTTATTTTTATAATCAAAATAGTTTACCAAAGTTACCAGTGGGAAAAATGGATTGTGTCTGCACCAAATGCTTACCAAACTTACACCAGACTGAGAGCTTTTCTCATTTATTTCAGACAGAGTTTTAAAGCTGCTCTGTTTCAATTCAGACTCCACAGAGCAAAGATCCTGTGACTGACAGTGTCTGTATCTAATCTGAAAAATTAACAACAAATTGAAAAATGAATCACATCAGTGATGAATGAAGGATCAGGTCAGGGGACGAAATGTCCTGTGTGATCCGCAGCTCAGTGATTTAACCTGAGCTCACACCTGCAGAGGTTTAAATGGTAAACTGTAATTAGCTCAGATGGGCTTCACTCTGATATGAAGAGCTTATTTTAAATCCGAGCAGAGAATCCAATAATATGAGACCTGTCAGGCAAAGCGAGCAGATATCAGGATGGTTAGGAGCTTAGAAGGAGACGGACTCATGTAAATTTACTGAAGTAGAAAAATGGTTAAACATAAGTGAAACCCTTTAAAATCCACAAAGAAGGCTTTAACACCTGATGTTTCATGTTTTGGAGCCAGATGTGACTCACCTCTTTCTCCCCACAGATGTGACTGATGGTAGACCCGGAGGCAGGGCTGGAGGCGGGCCCAATCACAGAGACCACGCCTTTTGGCAGGATCTGACACACTGAAATTAAAAAACAGCACAAGGTAAAAATAATCAAAGCTTTGCAGCAGAAGCTAAAGCTGAAAGAGTTGAATTTCTTTGCCACTTGGAGTGCACTTGCAGTGGAGACAAGTAGTTATCACAATATTGCCTTGATAGCGATATTTTTTATCTCCACATCCAGCAGTTACAGAAAACATGATCAGTCATTAGGAGTCTTTGTGTCCACCTGATAGATCTGAGTCCATATTCTCTCTCTTTTAGCTCTGTCTTTGGTCCCCACCAACTCCTGAGGGAAATATCTGCAGTTGCTGGTCTACAGCTCCCACAATTGGTTAGTGTGTAAGGTTAAGTGGAGAAAATATTTCTAATACAACATACACTTAAACTGAAACAGAATTTTTTATGTGGCTGAAATACACTTTGCTGCAGCACCTGAACACAGTAGTACATTGCTTAGCTTCTGTGACACTAATACATGAAATAAGCACAGTAAAATCATCAGATAGGTCAGACTACTGTGTTTAACTATGTATCTTTAAACTTTATACTTTCGACTGCAAAATACAATAGAAATAAACATGTCTGCCTATTTCACATATTTCTGCAATTGGAATCAATTGTTAGTTGTCTAAAAAGAAGGGATTGTTGTTGTTAGCGCATCTTCATGATGACTTGGTCTCTAAAGCTCGGTAAATCTGAGGTGAGCTCAGATTCAGATGATCATTCTGTGGAGGTTCATCCCCACACATTAAGTGCCGCCGGCGCGGCGCTGTGGCCGTCAAGGGCTGCCCTCCAACACACACTGGCAGCGGCGCGCAGCGGCACCGTCAACATGTATTTCCCACCCCAGCCCTCTAGGTGGCTGTACCTACACTAGTTGCCAACGGTTGCCAACTGCTAGTAACAGAAGAAGAGGAAAAACTTTGAGGCAACAACAACTTGAATTTCACGGGTGAGTTTCTTATCAAAGTCGTCTTATTAAAAATTTGAAACAACCGGAGCTGATCCTACGAGACGAGACGTACATAAAAGGCTTTTCTCGCAGCGCCGCCATGAGCGCCGGCCGCGCTGGAAATAGAGCAGTGGGTTGAAGCAGAGCGGCGCGGCGCGGCGCGGCGCGGCGCGGCGGCCGGCGCCAGTGTGGGTTGGTTCATAGAATGTAATGGAGGCAGGCGTTTTGACGCGCGGCGTATGGCGGCAGTGTATGTTGCACTTTACTGTGTCATCATGTAATTTTGGCATAAAAATATCAATTATGGCTGCTTTCAAGTGAATTCAACATTTTTGTGTTCATGGACTAAATAGTAGAATGTTGGATGAGCTTCATGGCAGAGATTTTTCAGTCTGTTTCTGTATTTATTTAATAAGACCTGTTTAACACCTCCTGAATCCAGTCACACACACACTTACACACATCACATTAGCCACAACTGGACTGGTCTGAGGAATGGGCAATTTTAATGTAATTTTAATTTCTATGTATGCACTTGTTTTAACTTATTTTATATCTATTTTAATACCACTGTGTTGTTGCTGATGAAGGTAAGCATGGTTGTTGTTTTTTATGAGCTGCTGGACAGTTGAATTTCCCTTCAGGGATGAATAAAGTTCTATCCATCCATCCATCCATCTATCCATCTATCTATCTATCTATCCATCTATCCATCCATCTATCCATCTATCTATCTATCTATCTATCTATCTATCTATCTATCTATCTATCTATCTATCTATCTATCGGCCACTTGAGGCTGGCTCCAACAGCAAATCAGTGTGCATGGGCCTCTATTTTAAAAAGCCCAACTTTATAGCAGAAAACATGTTTATAGCTAAATTCCCAGTTCATGATACCTGTCCATTTTGTTAAGGCTCATAATTAAGGGTATGGCCTCTTTGAATGACATGTGGGTATAATCCATTGACAAGTCAGGTTAGGTAATGACAACGTTGTATGGGTAATGTACTTACTCCCAGATGGGTGTAGCCATAGCTGTCACTATTTCAGTGTGTTGTCAGTTCATGACAGTTAATTCTAACATTTTGGTTGCCTAAAAAAGTCTTGTTCAGTGTTATGTTGTACTAAAATACCTTCTATAAGTCGGACATTCATTGTTTTTTAAGTAGATTTTGTCTTAATGGTTTTAAGATTGTTATTCACTCACTAAATTTAGCATTAGCATTATTACAGTCGACCACAGCTTAAAATATTAAGTGCTAACCAAGCTAGCAGCTAATCTTAGGATTATCTCCACCCTCTTGTCCAAATATGGACATGTCTGGCTCCAAAAATCTAAGATGGCAACGACCAAAATGCCAAACTCGAGGCTTCAAAACGTGAGTCCACAAACCAGTCAGTGACGTCATGGTGACTAAGTCCATTATTTTATACAGTCTGTAATCTTTAATTGGTGAAAGTATAGAATACTGTTTTTGGTTTCATTCTTTTCATTTCATTGTTCATGAATTAAATAGGTCAATAAAAATGTGCCATTTATGCAAACTCTTGCTCACTGACTTTTTCAGCTCAGTGCCTCCCTCATTTCAATTTTGGCAGCTTTAAGCAGAGTCGTAGGACACTGATTAAAGCTGCAAACTATTGTGATTGTTTTTGTTTTATATAATGAAGAGAAGATAATTATATGCTTTTTATAGTATTTTGAAACAAATATAGAAAAACAACCAGGTTTTTTGTAGTCAGGCATTTGGATTTTAAAACAGATAAAGAACAGAGTGCAACCTACAAGTATCTGATTGTTTCTGTATGAACGGATCAATATAGATGTTTTCATTATTGTACTGTGGTTTGTATCTTCGTCCATGCACATAATGCATCGTTTGTACTGACACAAATTACAATTTGTGCCAGCTTCCTCTCAGTTTATATTTGTGTGTGTGTGTGTGTGTGTGTGTGTACTGCTCTGCTCTGACAGAAAACATTAAGTGCCTCTCCATCGGGAAGTCTCTCTTTGCGCCGCTGGCAGTTCCTAATCAATAAACATCCACAGCAGCTGCTCGTGCAGAACGCTCAGAGCTCTGCGGTCACGATGACCTCCCTTTGAAATGATACTACACACTCTGAATGTGTAAAACACGGCCATCATCCATCTGTCCTTCTGTCTGCATGTCTGCTTCCATCATGTTCATGCAGAAAGTCATCAGAGTGACACAATCCATAACTTGTGAACATGACTGATTAATTTAAAACTGTCTTAAATAGTTCTAAAGAGAGCTTTGAACCAGATCAACAGCCTTCTTTTTAAACAGTGTTAGATTTATCCTTATCCTAATCAACCTATTTAATTTCTGGAGCCTATGTAATTTCTGGAGTGAAAGTATCTATCTATCTATGAGATATATATATATATATATATATATATATATATATATATATGTCCATCCATCCATCCATTTTCGTAACACTGATTGGGCGAGAGGCAGGGTACACCCTGGACAGGACGCCAGACTACTGCAGGGCTGACACATAGAAAAAGACAACCATTCACACTCACATTCACACCTACGGACAATTTAGAGTCACTGATTAACCTATCCCCAACCTGCATGTCTTTGGACTGTGGGAGGAAGCTGGAGTACCCGGAGAAAACCAACGCTGACACAAGGAGAACATGCAAACTCTGCAGAAAAGGGCTCCCGATTGAACCAGGAAGCCTGTTGCTCTGAGGCGACAGTGCTAACCATATATATATATATATATATATATATATATATATATTTCTTTTTTTTAAATCACCCTCTCACCCTCTGAGGGTGATACCTATCTGCATCATCCTCAAGCTCAGGTCCTCTACCAGAGTTCTGGGGGTTTGAGGGTTCTGCGCAGTTTCTGTTCCCCGGACTGCACACTTCTGGACTGAGGCTTCAGATATTGTTCCTGAAATCTGCCGGAGCCACTCTCCCAGTTTGGGGGTCACTGCCCCAAGTACCCCTACTACCACGGGGACCACATCAGTTTTGACCTTCAACATCTGTTCCGGTTGCTCTTTCAATCCTTTGTACTTCTCCACCTTTTAGTGTTCCTTAATTCTGATGTTGCCGTCAGCTGGTATCACCACATCTACCACCACTGCTCTCTTCTGGTGTTTGTCAACCACCATTATGTCCAGCTGGTTAGCCAGCAGCTGTTTGTCAGTCTGGAACCTTAAGTCCCACAGTATCTTAGCCCTGTTGTTCTCAACCACCTTTGGTGGTGTGTACCATTGGGATTTGGGTACTTCGAGTCCATACTGGGTACAGAAGTTCCTGTACGCTATTCCAGCCACTTGGTTGTGCCTCTCCATGTATGCTGATCCTGCTTGCATCTTACACCCTGTCATTATGTGTTGGACCGTCTCAGGGGCATCTCTGCACAGCCTGTACCTTGGGTCTGATCTGCTCTGGTAGACCCTGGCCTCTGTGGCCCTTGTGCTTAGGGCCTGTTCTTGTACTGCGATGATTAGTGCCTCCATGCTGTCTGTCAGTTCACCATTCCAGCCACTGGTAGGTCTTCTTGATATCAGCCACTTCTTCTATCTGATGGTGGTATTCACCATGTAGTTACTTGTCTTACCTGGTTCTCCTCCACTTCTTTACCCTCATCCGGTTTCTGTTGTCTGAGGCATTCACTTAGCAGCTCATCCTTTCGGGCCATCTTCTTCTTTTTTTTTTTTTAAGATATTTTTTGGGGCATTTTTAGCCTTTAATTGATAGGACAGATAAGTGTGAAAGGGGGGGAGAGAGAGAGAGGGAGTGACATGCAGCAAAGGGCCACAGGCTGGAGTCGAACCCAGGCCGCTGCGGCAACAGCCTTGTACATGGGGCACCTGCTCTACCACTAAGCCACCGACGCCACTGGAGCCAACTTCTTGATTCACTCCTGGATTTTGGATGTTTAATCCTGGATAGTGGCTCTGCCACTCACTAGTCCTCGGCCTCCCTCTTTCTGCTTAGTGTAAAACCTCAGGGGGCTGGACTTGGGGTGGAACCCTCCATGCATGGTGAGGAGCTTTCTTATCTGTGGCTTCAATCGGATATCTCCTATGTTGCCCTCTGGTAGGTCAGCTCCTTCAGTTCTGATCACCTCGCCTCTCTTTGATACCACACTTGTCTAATCAGAATGACATCCCTATGCCCTTGCTGTATATCCTGGTGGTGTGGCTCAGTGAGTCGATTTCTCGGTCATTCTTGGCATACAGCCTGATATCATCCATGTAGAGCACGTGGCTGATTGTTGCCCCACTTCGGAATCTATTGCCCTCTAAGGCACAAAACATAAACACTGACAGTATAAACAGCATCTGAAAACTTTCACGATGGCTGTGTGGCTTTTGAACAGAATGTGTATTGTTGTTATCCTCTTCTTCCTTCCTCCTTCCTGTCTTTAAAGATAAAATGGCAAACTGGTTGCTATTGTGTTTCTGAAGGGGTTGAAAGAGGATACGATTAACCTGGCACTGACAATGAAAAAAAAACTCATTAATGGTGCTATAGGCTAACAAAAAAATGTTGTATTTGACGTTCATTTTAGTTATTCTGTGATATAATGGAATAGCTCGGCTCCCAAAATAACATTTGCACATCAATTACTTTTCCTATGTTACTCTGAATTCATGAAGAAATTCAGTTTTTTTCTCATGCCTCTGGTGAACAAAGAATCCAAAAACTGAAAAAAGGTCTTGATGAAGTGGAGTCATAGGGGTCCATTATTGATAACAACAAAACTATATCAAAACATCTTTTTTCAAATTCTCACACAACTTGAGCAGTATAACCCAAGTTTCATTTATCCAGTTCTATGCTTAGTACACTGCAAACAGACAGCCCTTTGTGATGGGGAACTGAAAAGAAAGTGAAAGTTATCTACAGTTGCATGGAAAAGTTTGGGCACCCCTGGTCAAAATGCCATTCACTGTAAATAGATTACCTGATTTCCGTGAGGCCTTTAGTCAAAGATGACACATTAACTTCATCGGTCCACCGGACTTGTTTCCAAAAAGCATCAGACGTAGATGTGCACACAGGTAAGGTTTTTGTCTGATGACTCTTCATGAAGGTCATATTTGAACAGGTATCACTGCACATTAGAACAAAACACCACCACTCCAGAGTCTGATAAATCTTCCTGCAGGTCTTTTGCAGTCAAACCGGGCTTTGATTTGCCTTTATAGCAATCCTACAATCAGCTCTCTCAGAAATTCTTCCTGGTCTTCCAGGCCTCAACTTGACCTCCACACTTCTAGTTACCTGCCATTTCTTAATTTCAGTTTTCATAGTGCTAGGCAGCTGTTTAGAGGAACCCATACCATGGCTGCTGTTGTTGGGACAAGGTGTCAGAAGTCAGAATATTTATAAAGCTTTGAAATTTGCATCACCTGGCCTTTTCTAACAATGACTGTGAACAAGCCAGAGCCCTGACAAGCTAATGATGGTCTTTTAAAAGTTGTCTGAGAGCTCAAATGTCTTGGACTGCCCAAACTTTGTATGATGTTCATTTCCTTTTTTTCCACTCTGAAATTGTAAAAGAAAAGAAGATAATATACTGAAATGTTGAAAAGCATGTTTCGTCTTTAACGTCATACCTTTTGGAGATCAGTTCATCTTCTGCTTACTTAGTTATTCACAGTAAAAGAAATTTTGACGAGGGGTGCCCACATTTTTGCATGCCACTGCATGCTCTCTTTGAAGCTACCTCCATTGTTTGTGTTATTGTGTGACTTTGGTGAATCTGAACAATCCTTTAAAACACCAAAGCCATTCTTTGTTCACTAGAGGCAACTAAAAAAAAAAACAAGAAAGAAAAAGTAAGTTTTCCCCACAAATTCAAAATAACACAGGGTGAGTGGTTGATTTATTAATAATTATATGGAGGATGAAGTATTCTTTTAAGGTTTTCTTGTCTGATACTTAGGGCTGTCAGTGCTATTTTTATTGCCTTAAGGCATGTTTAAGCACCTTTAACTCATTGTAAAGCCTGTTTGCCCCCCGGTGTGCAACTCTGATGAACACCTGTGGTATTTAAAGTGCAGGGTCACTGAACGCAGAAGAATCATTTGCACCTGCTACGCTACTGACCTGCCTTGTTAAATAAAGGTTGATGCTTGAGTGGGCTGGTCTGTTTCCTTACAAACACACCGCGTACTAAAGTTTACCTTCACCGGAAATGTCAGAGCGAAGAGCAGCTGCAATCTTTCAGGTGGAAGATGAAGAGGAGAATATAAAACGGAGGACTTACTGGTGTCAGTGGTGTCATACTGGGAGTCCTTCTGCAGCTCGTAGACATCCACCTCCACCCTCGCCTGGGAGGAGCCCTCCATCAGACTGTTGATGTTCTCCCTCGCCAGAGCCAGTGCCAGACGCTCACCACGACCACATGCTGACTGATCATCCAAAATGGCCGCTGGAGATAGAGAGGGACAAAGGTAAAGGTTGAGAAATGAAGATCAGAAACCTGTTTTCTTTATGTAGATGTCGGATTATGCAGTGAAGTTCAGTTTACCAATATGTGGTAATACCTGGATGTACACCTGGGTTATGAGATGAGAGTCAAAAGACATGAAATCCAAGGCAAAGTTTGACTCAAAAGATTTGCCATAACTCAAAACCATAAATGACCAGTCCTAAGTCCTGCCCCCCTTAGTTACTGTTGCTAAGTCGAACAAGCTCTGCAAAAGAAACATGGCGATAATGGTTCCACTTAGTCAGGTTCTGCAGTGTTTTTCAGATCGGTGTCAGGCAATAAAGCTTCAAGAAGCCAACAGTAGTGAATACAGTAAGGTGATGGTGATGGAAGAATACATTTCTGATGTTAACAGTTATGAACAAGACAAAACGATATAAGTTGAGGTGTCCAGTCTCAATGACAAAGGGAGAAATAGAGACAGAGAATGACAAGACTATCAGCCACAATTGCTCCTGCACTGCAGAGTATGTGTTCCCTTTTTCCCTTCTGGGGAGCAGTAAAGTACTCTATGCATTTATTATTGAATACAGAGGATAGTGCTTTTGATAGCCCGATACCCATTTATCAGTGACTAACCGGTTAATTTTCAAGTAAAATAATGCTGAATGATGTGGAAAACAAAAGGCCTTTCTTGTCAGTCGAGTGGTCCACTGACTCACTGAGTTTTTGCACCATATTTCAAACTGCTATCCATTTAGAGGTAGTGAAATTTGAATAATTTATGATGTAAATGTCTTGCCTTTTATTTGCTGTTGGCTTTGCTAAAAGACAGCCAGCTAGCTGTATTAACATGCTGAAACATAGTGTCCACTGCCCACCCTCTGGTCTCCACTGGTAAGCTAACAGTGTGTCTCAAATCATATACGTCTGTACTAATCACTTAATATTTTGAGGGCACAAGTCTGCTAAGTGCGTTCACACTGCATAGTACGGGAAAATGCAGTGCACTACTGCTGCACTCAAAATGGTCCACAAGTTCACTGTGGAGTAATGGACACCTCTCACTTTCAACGGTTGCCATCTTTGGGATGACACCTAATGGAGTGCCCTAGGTATAAGTACTAAAACTTGGAAATACGTTTTTAAATAGGTTTTTGGTTAGATACCTGAAATCAGGTCTATGGTTGACACAAGCTTAAGAGACTTTCATGTTTTGTTCTAGGATATAAAAAATATCAATAAATACTCAACTTGTGAATTTTGAAGCTTTTACGCATCTTAACAAAGTTATTTGCTAACAAGTGGCTAAATGAGACTACAGAATGTCATCACCCCGAACACGGCTTTACAGCTTCGATCTGGTGGGGATGCTAAAGTCATGCGATCGAGGTATAGTTCATTTATAGCCTAACATTAGCTTTTTACTTGTGGCAATTTCATTTAGGCTTCTAAAATCACAAATGCAGATTTATACAAGCTAGAAGGATATATAAAATATGATAACTACCGGAATAAAATTATGAAAAAGTCCATTAAAAACAAAAAACAGGTGTCTGGCAAGAATGATTAAACAGCAATAAAAACATAAAAAAGAAAAGAAAAAGTTTAATAAAATCAAATAAATAACAAACAAATCTGCCTGGAAGGAACAACAGCAATAAAAACAATAAAATGTAGAAAATAAAAACAAATTACGGTCATGTCTGTGAATTAACCAAAGCAGGTACACAACATCATCTATGTCATCTAACAAAATGATCCACCAACACCTGTCTAATTTCAAATACCTCTTATAATTTACCTAATTTATTTGTTCAAAGAAAAAAAGGAAGTGGAAGCTGATTTAACGAGCTCAGTACTGATCTAAGGAGTTTCAGGAAATAAAGATTCCAGTGAGCGTGTGTGATGAGAAACAGATTTGACTTTGAAAAAAAGAGAAGTGACTGAGGTAACTATCGATGCCTTATAAACAAAAGGGAGGTCAAGTCTTTCCCTTCTATTCTGATATACAGTAGTTCAACACTGTGAGTTCTAAAACCATTCCCAGTAATACAGAACTGTGATTTCAGTGAGGATGGGGCTGCATGCATACAAAATATTACCATAATTTAATACTGACATTATAGTTGATTGAACAATTGTAATTCTATTTTCTAAAGAGAAGGATGACTGAATCCTGTACAGTACACACAGTATCTTATTTTCTTTGTGAGCTCACACACGTTTCTTAAGTCAGTTGTTCCCAACTGGTGGGTTGTGGTCCTAAAGTGGGTCGCGTGCCCGTTCTGAATGGACCGTAAGTGACTGCCTAACATGTCAAGTTTTTATAAGAAACACTTTATTTTTCAGTAGGGCGAATTTTCAGGGCAGAGCTTTTATTTTCAAGTGCCATTTCCTGCTGTAAAGTGAGTGACTAATGGATAGCTACGTGACAGAGACAGCAAAGTAGCTTGACAACATGGCCAAATGCAAGTATGACGCCAAATGTATTAAACTGTGTGGACCTTGAGCAAATGGTTAAGGAGAAATCTGGACCCTGGGGCTGGACCAGCTGGGAACCACTGTTTTAAATGAAAGCTTCTCATCAGGCCAAATGCCCAGATATTTGTAATCTGGGCAAGAGCACTGGTTTGCATATGGACAGTAGGGACATGTCCCTACCAATATTTGAGCAAACTCGACTGCGTTATCTCATTCTAAAACTTCTTTACATTAAAATATAGGACAAATCGTGTCTGGTATTGACAGTGAGGGACAGTGCATTTTTTTTTTTGATACTGGACGATCCCTAAAAAGTGTTTTCAATTATTTTCGCTATTTCGCACACAGATGCTTAAATTTTGCCTCCTCCAGAGTGAGTACATAACAGGGTATGTTTCTGTCAGACGGTCTCAGGGGGATACTACCACATCAGCAAAACAACATCATGCACAGCAGGATTATAGGGCAGGTAGACTTTTTTTCTTGAAACGTTATGACATTATTTTCACCAGTTAATTTTTGTAATATTCCAACTTTTTTTTCTTCTTCTCAAATTAAACGTTTTTCTCAACTTCTCAGGGTAACCTGGTCTCACACCTAAGTGAAAAAATCAAAAAAGTGAAAAATGTCAAAATCCAGTGCTTGGGCAGTGACTTGCATCATCAGACATTGATGAAAAAAGCTGTTCTTTAACGTCAGCATGATACGCAGCTGGTCGCCATTGTAGTTTAATGGTGCCCGGGCGTGTCAGGGGGAAACGCAGCAGGACAAGAACAAAAGTTAAGACGGCAAATGTCTGAGTTGGGAGGGGTGGTGGATGGGTCTAACTATTACCGACTTTCACCTGGTGTTCACTTCAGGTAAGATTGTAAAGTCAAACCCTGTTCTTTTGTCTAAACCCAACCATGTGCTTTTGTTGCCTAAACCCAACTGTGCATGTGTTGGCTAAATGTATTTGTAGTTGAAGGAAAAAAAACAACTCACTTTGCTTTTTTGTACCGAGGTAGTGTGTTTATTTTGAAAGAGACTGTATGCAAACTGTACATTTCCTGTGAAAACCTAAGTATATTTTGAAAACAGACAATGCATGTAACAGGCAGAACTTGACATTGTATCCCAGAATGTCAATAACCACGGCACCTAGGGTACCTTGCATGTTGTATCTGGACGTGGAATGTCCATGACCAAAAGTTGATATGTAATGAGGTTGGTTTGAGAGGTTGGAGTTTGCTCAGGGAGCACAGGTATAAAAGGCATGTTTTGAATGTGCAGAAAGTTTCAAACATTAGCAGAAATCTTGTTAAAACACGAGCTATTAAAGTCCACGGGTTAATGAATTAATTCAAATGAATTTTTTTATTGATGTGAAGAGGTGCCACGTGCATATCTAAAAAGGTCACTCACCAAACGATGGACACAACTGGATGGAAAAGTAAACTGTGCCTACATGTGTGTGTTGACTCAGCTTCAAATTAGTCAATTGACAGGAGAATAAATATTTGAAAGCAAAACAGAATTCTTGAGAGCCTTACTACATTATAGTCTTACAGTTTTCCTTTATATAGATAAATATATTTTCACTAAAGACAGGTGCATAAAACTTAGAATGTACGAAATGATATGTATGACATGCAAAATTGCTGAAAGTCCCCCAGACCTCCCGCTTAATATGTCCCTATCAACGTTGACATGAAACCTGCTTTGAATCTGGGCAACACATTCTCACTCTGACCTTGTTACATATCCATGTTTGGTCATGGACTTTCCACGCCAAGATACAACGTGCAAGGTACCCTGGATGTGTTTGTTGTTGACGTTCTGGGACGCAGTGTCACGTTCTGCCTGTTACATGCATTGTCTTTTCAAAATGTGTAGAGGCAAAAATCGGCGCCTGGAAGTGGACCTGTAGGCTCCCGACCTTGTCCTCCACTTGACTTTTCTGTTTCCCTTTGATGTAGATCTGATACCTTGGAGTCAGCTAAGTAATACTCAAAGAAACACTGGAGACAGGCAGAGTCCGATGCAATCGAGTTTAATGTGTTCACAAGCTTTAACACATACAACTCAGCGAGTCACGCTCCGGAGCAGGACTAAAGTTTCACTTTCTGAGGTGCTCCTTTTATGCTGGTGGAGATTCAGGAGAATCTCCACCTTCTTTCCTTAGCCCTTCCTACCTGAGTCCAAACCTATTGGTGGTCGGCCTTTTTGCCTTTGTCCAGACTTGCCCGAACATGCCCAGGCATGTTTTAATGGTGTATCATTTTTCCATTGGCCTGTGAATCCCCAGATTCTCCCACCATTAGGTTAGAACTCAGGTTTACACTATTTTTAAAAAACATATGGAACTCGGGGACTATTTCTATAAGTCCCTTGTGCCTTTATGCAATATAATCTTTTAATGTGCATCGGGTAATACAAACACTTGGGTGTATGTGTGATAGGTTATGTGTGTTCTTTTTAGCATGGATACAATGTGAACTTATATCATGAATACTTTGTTATGTATGACAATGTCT